AGGCAGCGCCCACTGGTGCTGGGGACTTTTTTAATAGACCTACTGTACTCACCAAGGCCCTGGTTCACGGCTTGACGCTATCTGACGCCGTGGTATCGTGGTATTGCCTTTCCATGGAAACATCAACAAACTCCGACGCTCCAACATGAGAGGGCGTCCGAGTATGTTGACCCACTACCTCGATACCGCTAGCGTCAGGCAGCGTCAGGCTGTGAAACCTAGGGCCCGAAGCGGTGTCAATACGTCACAAAAGCGGCCTCGAGGCTCGCCCGTCTATCACGGCTCGACTCCGCCCGAGACCCCTCTGCGGCCCCAGTGACCCCGGCTGACCTGGCCTGACCCTGCGGGCGGCGCGGCGGCAGCGCGGGTCGCCAGCGGCTCCGGTACGGTGGGGTTATGGTGCTGCGGTGTGCCACTGCAGCAGAGGTGCCGTGGGGCCGCGGTACGCTGCTGTGTGGTGCGCTACTGGCAGAGGTCTGCGGTGCCGTGCCCGCCGCCGGCTGACCCAGTGACCTGCAGAGGTCAGCTACGCGGCGCGGGAGAGAGAGGGAAGGCTGTTGACACACGAGGGCTGTTTGGTCTGCCGTGGTTGAACTGTGCATGGTTGAGTTTGGAGCGCAGCCTCTGCGATGGAAGCGGCTCCACGCGGCATTTCCATGTCGGATTGAGTCACCACCCTGCTGTCAGCAGTGGGACGGCGACGGGCTGAGCCCGGACGGGGCAATGTATGCCGTTCCTGCAGGATGCAAATCGGCGCCGGTCGATGACAAACAGCGCGGCCGTGGAAATCAGAACATGCATGTGATTTCTGTACCGCTGACCGCAGCAGCGTCCCATGGCGCCGCGGCTGGCCGGGGGGAGGTCCGTGGCGGGGGAGGGGGAGGTCTGTGTCCCGGTCCGTGCCGGTGAGGTCAGTCCGTGCCGGGGGAAGGTCGGTCCATGAGGTCGGTCCGTGTCAGGGGGGATGTCCGTGCCCCGGTCGGCTGAGAAGCAGTGGAGGGGAGCAGGTGAAGGAGGTTATAGGCCATGAGTCAGCAGTCTCTGCTTGAAAACGGTCTCGGCCTGGCGACTCGGTTGTCGGCTGGGCTGAATCAAAATTTAAAAGGAAATGTTAGCGAGCACGGTTGTGACTGGCGGCGGCTGTGACTGGTGATGCAATTAAGTCGCTGGTGACGGCTGCGACTGGTGACGGCTGGTGCTGTTGGTGACGACTGTGTCTGGTGGTGCTGCGACTGGTGGCGGCTGTGACTGGCGGCGGCTGTGACTGGTGATGCAGTTTGTGACTGGTGGTGATTGTGACAGGTGGCAGCTGTGACTGGTGATGCAGTTTGTGACTGGCGGCGGCTGTGACTGGTGGCAGCTGTGACTGGTGGTGATTGTGACTGGTGGCAGCTGTGACTGGTGACTGCTGGGACTGGTGGCGGCTGTGACCTGTCTCGTTGCGGCAGAGGCCGGCACCGGCCGAAGGCACGCCGGGCCCAGCCGGGCCGCTCCGAATGGGCTTGTTTACCAGGCGAGACGGTGGCACGCGCCGGCCGTTTTTTGAGCCGGCTCGCCGCGGGCGCTGCGCCTCCTCACTCCCCGCTCGGCACGCGGCGCCTGCAGTGGCCGCTGGAGAGGAGGGCCGGCGCCGCCGCGGAGACACGGAGACAGGTGCTGGGAGACACGGTGACACGGTGACACGGAGGCAGGGCAGGGCTGCGTACTGCGGAGCCATGACGAGTGACTCAGCGAAATACCGGGTGGTGGTGGTCGTGGCGTATATGTACACAAAGGACCTGTACTGAGACTGCAGGAAATAGAAGTTGGCGAAGAGCCGCCGCTGCTGAACTGTGTCATTCATCGCCAGTCAGCACATTGGGCGGCTGCCGGCCTGCTGTGTGTCCTATCGTAGGTCAGCCCTCTGTTGGTTTTGTACCCTCTTTGCGTATGTCAATGTGCTTCTGTTTTAAAACTCTGAATGGCTTCAGAGACCAGGTGCGCGCTGCTGCAGCCTGCAGCCGATTGGAAGCCGAAATTACGGTTTGGAGCGATGGCCCTATGAGGCCACCGTCGTCATGCGTCCCGACTGACATCAAAGGCCGAGAGCTGACGGTGCTCGGCGGAGCTGGGAGGCCGGCGGACCTTCCTAACGACTCCTCTCCGAATCACCGCGACCGATCGAGACCGACGACTCGTGAAATCCGCCGTTTTCATGGACGGCGCGTATCGGAGCGGGCATTCCATTCAAGGCTGTGGCGGCGCCGCCTCCCGCCTCTCTCCTCCCCGCTCCGTCGCTCTCTCCGGGTCGCCGCCCGCTGTTCCGGCGTGACCCGGCCGCTGTAACCGTCACCGCACACCGTCCGGCGCAGCTCCTGACGGACCGCGGCAGCTTCTGATGGACCGCGGCTCACAGCCCAGCCCAGTAGTGCTTCTGATTGGGCGCAGTGACGCCGCTCGGCCCGCCTGCCGCCGATGAGCCCCACGTATACCGGTACACAGTGCGTGCTGTCTGGAGCTGAGGCTGGTGTCCGGTCTCCCCAGGTCGGGCGGGTTGTTCACACTCTCAGAGACGGTGGTTACCAATCACAATTACCCAGTGTGATGCAGGGTGAACGCGGCGCCTGCTCTGGCGTCAATTGGCACTCGTACAAATCGGCTCGGGAAAATCCCACGAGCTGCAGATCATCTTGATAAAGTCCGGCCTCGGAAGGCCGTGCTACGCCTACGACTAATCACTACGAATTAAGTCGTACAAGTTGTCAGTTGCATCTTACTGAATTAGTTAACTGTCCATTTAACCAATGGATTGAAGATAACCATTCGAATTATATGACATGTTCAGCGAATTGTCAGTAGGGCTTTGTCAGTATTGTCAGTAGCTTTGAGCAGCTGCGGCGGTCGCTGACTGACCTACCAGGGCCATACAGCTCTGCCTGCACAGCAGGCGTGTTAGTACACCGCGGCTGCCGGCTACGACTCACTACGACCGCTCACTACTGCAGTGCACCTGCACTTCTTATGGCCGCAATATCCCGGCCACATCTGACGACAATAACGAGATTTCAGTGACACGAGATACCGCACACGTGTGTTCAACTTGTTGCGCCAAAGGCTGTGGCGCATAACAAAGATCGAAGTATATATTATATTAGCTGATTGTCAGTGTGGCTGCGTTTTCTGTTCCAAAGGTCGACGGATGCCGAAATCGGCCTTCTCGCTGGCTGTCTTGCTCACGCAGGAGGCCGAGCGGCGCGCTATCGCATGGTATGAACAGCTCCTCTGCTCTGCTCGAGCCGCATTGTGTAGCTCCTGTCCGGGCTTCAGGACGTGGACTGTGGAGTGTGGAGGGTGCTCCTTCCTGAGGCGCGACTGACGAGAATGGACTAGTGTCGGACCGATGCGGTGGACCGGCGCGGTGGTAGACCGGCGCTGAACTTGGCTAACTGGATGGTATAAAAGGCGCCGGATTTGGCTGCTTTTGTTGATGACCAATAACGGCCGCGAACGAGCCGTGCACGTGCGCCAAGATGCTGCTCCAAAACGTCTGGCTTAGACCGTTTGCACTTCTGGTGAAAATATGGTAATGGGACGGTTAACATGCACATAGTGTCGAAAGCGTGGATGAATTTAATTTGCTAGGCAAATTAATTTATTAATAGTTATAATCTCCGATCCTCGCTGTTCCTCGGTATTATCCTTAATTTTCAATCTGCCACGCGAATTGATTGCACAGCTGTCAATCAAAACGACAACTCAGTGACGACTGGCGTCAGTGCTTTCAATGATACACCGACAGTCCCCCTTTGACGGGACCAGGGGACAGTCCGACCTTGCCGCTGTCGTGGGACAGCTCCCAGGGGACAGTACGTCCCTGCGGGCCCCAGGGAACAGTCCGACCCTGCCCGTCTCGCGGGACAGCTCCCAGGGGACAGTCCGACCCTGCCGCTGTCGTGGGACAGCTCCTAGGGGACAGTCCACCTTTGACGACCCCACCCAGGTAACAGTCCGACCCTGCCCAGTCCGGCGCCGTGCGCGGCTCTGGGACGGCCTCAGCCGTGGTGCGGGCCGTGCTCCAGCGGCCAGCTTTGATGCCACACCGGCCGTCTGGCAGTGCTGATTGATTGGGCGCCGAATCGCCGTCCAAAGGCCCGCTATTATGGCCGGCAGATGAGCGGCGATCATGGAACATCATCGGTCACTGTCCGGACCGAGCTGTCAGGGGACGGGCTGACAGGTCCGGGCCGAGCTGGTACACCCGGACTGACAAGGGACTTGGCAGGCAGGGCACCGGACTGACAGAGGGGACCGGACTGACAGAGGACGGTCTGACAGAACCGGACTGTCAAGGGACTTGGCTGACAAGGGACCGGACTGACAGTTGGACCGGACTGACGGGGGTACGGAGGGGACTGTCAGGGGATGAACACTGAACAGTGCGGTGGTATACGTTCGAGAGGAGGTCTGTTCGACGAGTCTGTTTGTATCATTTGTCCCTCCATATAAGGAGACGGCGCTGACGGTCTGTGGGCGGCCTGTCGCCGCCGCCGTGTCGCCGGGTTGGTATTCGGCGCCGCCACTCGCCTCTCCCGCGGAAAGTCCCGCGGAGCGCCGGCCGGCCGGCCCGGCCGCTGCCCATCCCTCACATGACCTCACCATTGGCACAACAAAGGCCGAGCGGCGGCCGCACCCCGGGTCGGCCGTGGCGCACGTCTCTCATCATCGATCACCGTATCAATGCACAGCCTTTCACCGGGCCGGCCGGCACTCAGCCGCGGAGCCCGCGGACAATTAGTGTCATCTGCCGCCCCGTCCCGCTGCTGCCAGCGCCCGTGTGGGACCACTGGACTTGTCCCCGTGTGGGACCACTGCTCCCCTGTTGTGCCCTGTCTGCACTGGCCAATGTTGCCCGGCCCGTGCCGCCGTGTGGCCGCCCCGTGCCGCCAGTGTATCCCGGCCCGTACCGCCGTGTGACCCGACCCGTGCCGCCGTGTGACCCGTCCCCTCCCTCGCCGCCGCAGGACCCGGCCGCCGACACGTGCAGCTGGGAGCTGGTGGAGGACAGCACGTACAGCGTGCGTCTGCCTGAGGCGCGGCTCGCCGACGCTGGGTCGTACGTGGTGGCGGCCTCCAACCGCCACGGCACGGCCCAGCGCACCATGTCCCTGGAGGTCACCGGCAAAGGTCAGTCACTGCACGGTCAGTGACGTATGTAGGTCAGTCACTGCAGGGTCAGTGACTTAGGTCAGTCACTGGGGTCAGTGACATAGGTCAGTCTTTGGGGTCAGTGAGGTAGGTCAGTCGCAGTAGGGACCCTGAGGAGCAGTTGGGTACCAGAGCTGGATCAGCTAACATTAGAGGAATGACCCCGTAGGCCAGTAATCCAGTAGGCGAGTAAATAACGGCCAGTAGGCCAGTAATCAATAATAGCGGCAAGATAGACGCGCTGCACTCGCCAACGAGGTGAATTGACGTCGCCTGGTGCTCCATACTGTTCAGATTGTGAACATCCTCCCGATACTTTTTTACTGTAAACTGCCTTTTTACACCTCACGGAATATGTTGAATGGAATTCAACAAAATCAACGCAATACGTTAAAAAGCTGCACTGCAAATAAAAGGCTAAAACAATTAGCCAGTTGTATCGTTACTGCGCTATCGGCGCAACTTTGTGGCGATCTTCACAGAGGGCGACCGTCAATCGGTTTAGACGGCTTGCACCGTGAGGGTTTTAGTGAGGAACCGTGAGATAATGCAGCTAATTATAAAGTGCTCATCGCCCGGGCATGCCGTATGCACGGCTGGTTTACCAATTTATCATGCCGCGGCTTGATAAGGTAATTGTGTGTGATGTTTGTCGGGCGATATCGCTCCGATCCTGTTATGGTAAGTATCAATCAGCAGTTGCAAAATAATGAGTGGGGCGGTGGACTGCTGTGTAAACGTCACGCCGACCGGCCGTGCCGGACCGGCCGCGGGACAGCGGACGGCCACATCACTCACTCGGGCGATAGCTCCGGGCAGATCGTGAATTGGGTACAGCGCATAAATGGCTTACATAATCCCTGCAGCTCGGCTTAAACTATAAATTAGTGAACGGTTTGCCGTGTGACGTTCTTACTAAAAAAAAATTCTCAGGTTAAGATTTCTGACCTCCCAGCAAAATGAGCATCGCTAAGGCTCAATTTATTTTATTTTTAATTAGCATTGATGCTTAGATGTTTTGCTTAGCTTTTGCTAAGCAATTATTCCTTAAGTATTTGCGAGGTAATATAATTTTGCTAGACTTTTTGCTTGCGATGCTTAGAGCTTTGGAAAGATCATGTAGACGTTGTTTATGGGAGCTGAAACATGGGAACACCCAGTGGGTCATCGTCACGGATTTGTTCAATGCCATTCGTAAACTGAGCCCCCTCCCCCCCCCCCCCACAACACACACACGCCTATCAGCTTGTCCGTCAGAAGTCGGCTACTAGCGAGGGGAATCTACTTCAGCCAACACGGCCGTTGAAATTCATTCACGCCACGCTGCATCAGTGCAACATGTGCAGTGTGCACGATGCTGCAGACGTGACGCATTGGCGACAAACTGCAGCCGTCACTCCTGGGTCGGGGAACACCTTCACTGTACTCCTTCACTGGATGTACGGGACTCGTTTGACTGCGCGGTAATTTTTTTTTTTCTCGACAAAACTGATAGTATGTTATTCGAAGGCGACAGTCAAGGGAAAGTCATAAAACCAAGATGTGCGAAGCTCCGCCCCTGGGATCTGGCCCATCATTGTCTAAAATGTCCGCCCAGTTGGCTCCATTAGATCGAGGTCGGTACTCGTATATTTGATTCTTACGCCGCTGGACTTATATAAAACAGCTTAGGTACCTACCTTATTGGAAAATGTTGCTATCCTTATTCCTTAACCCTCGCCCGCACATGCCATTTTCCCATCCTATAACGCAAATGGGGGGGGTTGCCACCCCCCGCGCCATTTCGTTCCTGTTGGAGATAGAGCTTAGCGGTAAAGACCAAAAAGATTCTTTGGGAAGAGACGAATCCAATGATACCCAGTTTTACCTCCTCAGGTCTTAATCACCAAGGTAATTGACCTTCCAGGTCAGGTCAAACTAAAAAATGTTGCTGTTTTGGGTCACCGTTGGATATTAAGTGCGCTGCTTATCAAATACCGATGACGATGCTGTTTTCTGGTGCCAAGCCAGCTAGAACCTCTTTGTCACACTACCCGACCAGAATTTTGCTGCTGAGGTCATTTCAGGTCAAGTTAGGTCAAGGTCAATTATATGTGTTTGTATGTCTGTGTGTGTCTGTGTGTATACTGATGTGTGCACCGATTGTTTTTGGGTCCATATTACATAAAATCATGATCTGAGAAGCTTTTACCAAAAATGCGGTCAAAAAACTTCACAAAAAGTAAATTCAGCTTGCCTAAAACGCAATTATCTTAGATGACGTAGGTTGACCTTGACCCTGACCTTGACCCCTGTACATCGTCGAACAACATGTTCCATGATAGGTGGGAGGTAAGACTGGCAAAAAAGGCCGAAATCAGGGTGTCAAAAGCCCACAAGGCCCATGGCAAGCGCAAGATATTGAGAATTGGCCATTTTTGGTCATGACATGACCTGAAAAACAAGGTCATATCTCCGAAACCAAAAATCACAGAAACTTGAAATTTTCAGTGGACATCAAGAAAAGATAGAGGAGCAGATATACGAAAAATCAGCCTTCTAGCTCTAAAAATGTCGAGTGCAGAGCAGAAAGACTACCTGGGGGGGGGGGGTGGCAACCCCCCCCCCATGTGCGGGCGAGGGTTAACTTGGCCATTGATAATCAATCCTGGCATTTGGAAAGTTAAGGGTCACAGCTGCACATTATCACAGCCCTAGCATAAAGTGATGTGATTTTAAAGTGGACCCGGGACCGAAATACTGTGTCCTACGAAACTTGAAAAGTTAAAATTTATACCTAGGTAAGATAACAGTAGGCATTTGAAAAAGCAATTTCTAAGGATCAAAATTAAATTTTGAATCACATGGCAATCAATTTTTTCTCAACTTAGCCGATTTCCTTCAATTGATTTGAAACTACAGCTATATCGCCGGTCCCGTAGCTCAGTTGGTAGAGCGTTGGTTTCCGCGTGGTGAGAGCACGCGTTCCCGGTTATAACAGTCCGGATTCGAAGCGCGACGGGCGCTTGACATTTATGGGCCTCCTGACAGGTATGGTTGCGGTTGGTGGCAGGCCGTAGCCAGGCGAAGTCAGTGAGGGGACCGGCCGTGCGCGGCTATGTGCGCACGTTAAACTTTGGACTCTAAATTCTGCCATAGAACTGGAATTGCGCGATCGGAGGGTAGAGGGCAGGGTCACCGCAACAAGCTTCGCTTAGCGGTGGCTCTGTCCTTGTGAATCCTTCCTATCAAAAGGTTCGGACTAAATTTATAAAAAATCAAATATCTAGCCTCACCTTCTTGGGCTATTTGATATGAGCTGTAACAAAGAAAGAGCCTTTACCGTTGTTAGTAGCTGCACTTTGTCCATAGGCGGCGGAACGGGGAGGGCACCGGGGCACCGTGCCCCCCTTTGATTTTGGCATTTTTTAGCATTAGCCCTATGGGCCTTGCATGGAAAGAATGGGACCAAAAGTCGGCAGTGCCCCCCCCCCCCTTAATTGGAGGTGTTCCGCCGCTACTGACTTAGTCTGGTGTGAGAAAGCTTAACAAAAACCACATTTTTTCCAGTTTGCATATTATTAGAAACGTATACCCTTTTTTAGTGAGGTGCCGAAAACTGTACGTCTCGCATCAGTTAGCCCTACCTTACGGTACGATATCTACTGTTGGCGCATCACATCCGGTCAGAGTCGGGATATCATCCGGTCAGAGTTGGGATGTCATCGGGTCAGAGTCGTGAGGCCATCGACTATCGAGTCAGAGTCGGGATATCCGGGCCAGAGTCGGGTGCTTAATACCAACAATGCACCAAATACCAAGTTTTCTCACTCTATTAAAAATCCGTATTTATCAACATCCCAAGCTAATAATGACGGCATTCTTTTTTTTCAGAAAACACATTACGGGGTAAACAGAAGAAACTGAAGTGAGTATCTCTAACAATTCATTATTGCGATGCATGCTTCCTGTTGTCACCATTCATAAAATGCTAAACGTTTACCATATTAGGCTGTCCAAAGCGTTACAGTTAAAATGCATTTCCAAGTATTGCCATTTTCAGCTATCACATCTTCATCCGTGCTGCACACTGGGGCTCTGCGTGCTGTGTGAGGTTCTCAGCAGGGCTGTATGTTTAGTGGGCCTGTATTTAGTTCTCAGCTGGCTCCTAGTAAGGTTCTCGGTAGGGCTGTACGATGGTTCTCGGCCGGGTCGTGTGTTGCTCTCGGCTGGGTCGTGTGTGGCTCCCGGCCGGGTCGTGTGCGGCTCTCGGCCGGCTGGGTCGCGCGTGGTTCTCAGCACAGCGCCCTGTGCCGTTCCAGCGGCTCGGCCGAGCCCCGGCCGTCGTTCGCCACTGAGCTGCGGGACGTGCGCTGCTGTGACGGGGACTCCGTCACGCTCAAGTGTCGTCTGCGCGCCGGCTGCTCGGGCGCCGCTGTCCAGTGGCACAAGGACGGCGCGGTGAGTGCGCGCGCGCGGCTCCGGCGGCTCCGGTGGCTCCGGCAGCTCCGGCAGCTCCGGCAGCCCCGGCGGGTCCGGCAGGTCCTGTGGACAGCGTCCGTCCTTACATTGGCGCCCTCCAGTCCTGGTCTCAGCTAAATCGGTCATCTTTGCAAGTGATTACACACTAATAACGATTTAATTTAAACGTTTTAATTTAATTTAATACGATTTAAGTAATGACAGTTTCCGTCTGATTTTTTTTCTCGCACGTATCTCATCGTGGCGACCGTTACTTAAGTATAGGTACTGTGATTCCCTGTCTGCACTAATTACACTAATTGTACTGTATGCTAATCTTTGCTCCGATTGATATGTATCTGACTGACTCTGATCCTGACTGACCCCACTGACCCTAACTGACCCCGATTTTCCCCAACATACCCCGACTGACACCGACTACTATAACTGACCTCACTGACACCGACTGATCCCCTCTGACCCCCCCCCCCCCACTGACCCCCCCCCCCCCCCCCCCCACAGACCCCCACTGACCCCCCCCACCCCACTGACCCCCCACTGACGTCCGCAGGTGCTGTCCGACTGTGGCGAGTTCCGTCAGACTCGGATTGGCGACGTGCTGCGGCTGAGCATCGCCAAGGTGCATCCGGAGGACCAGGGCCAGTACACGTGCCACGTGGTCACCGACAGCGGCCGCGCCGCCTCCCGCGCCTGCCTCATCGTCGATGGTGAGTGGTCGTTCAGTCGCGCCAGGACGGCCCATGTCCAGTGTCCACCCCCGCCTCCCGCGCCGGGACGGGCCGTGTCCAGTGTCCACCCCCGCCTCCGGCGCCGGACACATAGCCCCTGTGTCCACTGTCCAGTGTCCAGTGTCCACCCTCCGCCTCCGGCGCCGGGACGGGGCCGTGTGGTGTCCAGTGTCCAGTGTCTAACCCCAGGACTCCGGCGCCGGGACGCTTAGAATTCTGACGAGCCTTCATTTATGAAAACATTGAGTGGCCGCGAGGGAGTGGATAAATTAGTAACTGTAGTATACCCGTAATTCAGAGTGACTGTTCGGATGACGTCACCCAGTACTCCCGGGAGACGTTCTTCCATGCCCGCTGGTCTAGATGAGACTCGGGTTATTCCGGGTCTTATGTGACTCATCCACGTTCCGCGCGGCCTTCGGCGTACTGTCAGTTTACGTGGCGAGTGCCTCAGACCCGAGTGGGTCCCCAGAGCCGCTGTGACGCCCGGCGGTCCAGACTCGGTCCGCTGCCCGGGGGGGGGGGGGGTCTGAGAACGGTACCGGACTGCTGCGGTCCATGGACTGCAGTCTCGCGGTGGCGGACGGTCAAAGCGCAGTCATGGTGAAATGGGGCGGATCGCTGCAGACAGATATGGATCGAAGAATGTACATCGTTATCTGGGCAGTGGTATTGGATATGCATCTATACAGACTACAGCGAAGAGCCGGCAGCGGGACGGAATCCTGTGTATGTACTGTAGTGCAAGCGATTCAGTGGAATGCTTTAGGGCTCTATCGGGTCACCTTGGAAGCTTCTTTTGTCTATGCCTATTGATAAGCGCCATTGATAAGTGCCAGTCATAATACCTACCACTACCTAGATGTTACGACATACCTAGTAATTATTAATAAACATAACCCTTTTTATTACTTTGCAGGAAACAGTGCGTAAGAAGCTCATCTGGAGGCTTTTCCATAAATAAAGCACCTACCTACGTTAACATACAACTCACAACCAAAGTATCTGGAGTGACTACTTTATCGTGGCATGGTAAATCGTGCTTACTGAAAATATGAACGGCAGTGGTGGTCGCGCTGGTCACAGCAGTGCTGACCCGCACCGGCCACAGCAGTGTTTTCAGTGTAGGTCTTAGCAGTGGTGACCGCGCTGGGCACAACAGTGGTGACCGCGCCGGTCACAGCTGCAGCCTTTGAACGTCGCGGTACGGTCTAGGTGCCAATCGGAACTTGGACCTTCGGAATTTCACAGGCAGCAGGCCTTGGACAACATTGGACAATCACCTCAGGATTTTATAAAGTAATCGTATGTAGCATTGATTGCACTGGTCTGCGTGATTTATAAGGTCAATGGTTTTTCAACTGTTTATAGATCAGTTTTTCACGCTGATTCCGGAAATGGAATCCGTTTTGCTCGATTAGCTCGATTTTTTAAGATACGTCGTTTTGCTCATATGTTCAAAGCTATGCTGATTGGCTTAGTATAGTTAATCACACAGAAGCATATATATGGTTAAACTGCAAACTGACCCACTATAAGTGAAATCCGATTACACTACACAAGCACTGCTGTGACACAAATGGCATTTTCACGGATTTTCGACTGTGTTGAGCACATGGGACGTCCCTCTTCAAGCACCAGCAATAGTCCGCCAGGAAGTTGACGTCCGACCGACCCTTATACCGTTTTTCCATCACACTTTGTGGCCACACAGTCTTTGTGGAAACATTCTACCTGCTCTTCACTACAATCACGGGAAATAATCGAGATGGGACCTAAAAAAGTGCAAAATGTATCAGCATGCCAACTCCAATGTGCATATTAATGCATCGGTGTGTATTCTTGACATAGTGTGGGAGCTCGAGCTAATCGAGAAAAATGGATACCTTTTCCGAATTCGGCACACAAAACTTGCATCAGAACAGTTGAGAAATCTTCCATCTTTTGGGAAAATGCATCAGTATGCCCACTCCAAGATTCATATTAATATATCAGTGTGTGAGCTGTTATCCGTGACATAGTGTGAAAACTGGAGCTAATCGAGAAAAATGGATAGCTTTGTTGGATTCAGCACACGAAACTTGTATTATAGAACAGCTGAGAAATCTCCAACTTTGGGGAACAATGCATTAGTATGCCCACTCCAAGATGCATATTAATATATCAGTTTGTGAACTTTAATCATTGATATAGTGTGAAAACTCGAGCTAATCGAGAAAAATGGATAGCTTTTTTGAATTCAGCACACGAAACTTGTATTAGAACAGCTGAGAAATATCCAACCTTGGGAAAAATATATCAGCATGCCCACTCCAATGTGCCTATAAATGCATCAGTGTGTGAACTTTTATCCTTGACATAGTTCGAAAACTCGAGCTAATCGAGAAAAATGGACAGCTTTTTCGGATTCAGCACACAAAACTTGTATAAAAATAGCTGAGAAACCTCCGACCTTTTAAAAAAAGTTTTGAAACGCAGGCCAGTGTTGGCGATTGGGAAGCTCAGCTGTCGATATAGTTAACGCTTTTGGGCTGGCCATGGTACATTTAAAGCAGCTTAACCCTCGCATTTGTGCGGCGTTTGCAAGCTTCTAATGTGTAGGGGGGGGGGGGGGGTCGGTTGGACCCCCTTGCCGTTTGGCCCTTGATTGAGCTAGAGCTTCACGGAAAAAACGAGCGTGTTGCCCGTGACGAGAGGAAGCCGATGATACCCAATTTTAAGGTCCTAGGTCATTGGTTGACCTTCCAGGTCAGGTCAATGACCCAAAGTCGGGAAAATCGGGACCGTTAGAAAGTCGTAAAGTGTGGCTGCTAAGGGGTTTTTCGGGGTGCTGATCACGAATAACGTGTTAGTTTTGATCACAGATGATGTCTTTAAGCATTTTGACCAGGTCGGGTCAGGTCAGGTCAGGTCAACTAGTAGGGGTCGTGACGGGTATTCGTAGTACGCGTCAACCGCCTCTGGCAGATTCGTAACATGTTACGAAGGCACAAAAACTACTTCGTAAATGTTCAAATAGTTTCTAAAAATTCGAATTCAGCTCCAAAAACTAGCCTAGAAACATGAAGAGCTCGAAAAAGTGAACCGAGGTCACCAAAGGTCAATGACCTGACCTGACCTTCAGGTGACCTTGACATCCACCCAAATGCATGGGAGCAACATCAAATCACATGTTTGAACGTTTGAAACCACGAGAAGCTTGCAAACGCGCGACTTATGTGAGCCGACATACGCCGAATCGCGATTCCGGCCAAACATGGGTTCGAGAAATAGGTCACATGTCAAGGGTCACTTTGGTCAGGGTCATGACATTTTCGGAGTAGGCGTAAAATTGATCAACTCGAGGGTACTGAAAGTTTCGTCGCGATCGTCCGCTTTTTACGCGAGTTATTCGCGAAAAACCATGGGGGGGGTCCATCCGACCCCCCCTACACATGCGAGGGTTAAATTGCAATGTTGAGGTCATGGTACATTGAAAGCAGCCTAAATTGCAGTGTTGAGTAGACTATTGCGCAATTTTCGGACATCTTTGGGCAAATGACGGGCTAAAGGCCTGGCTACACTATGCGTTTTCTTCGTGCGTTTTTTGCGTGTTTGCGTGTTTTGCGTGATATCGTTCTAGAAAAAGAACGATATTACGTTTTTGTGATGTTTTTCACCTTAAATTTTAGTTACATAAGAGTTATATTAGCTTTTGTATATAACCAAAGTAAAAATTATATTGTTTATAACTTTTTTCCTAGAACGATATTACGCAAAACACGCAAACCTGCAAAAACGCACGCAGAAAACGCATAGTGTAGCCAGGCCTTTACGGACATATCGTCGAAAATAACGGACATTGGACGGACATTGGACATACGTTTTCTAAAACTGGCACCACTAAAGTACGGTCCCACTTTGTAAGTTAATGTTCCGTGTCATTTCTTTTAGCGGACATCATTTTTGACAAGCACCCATCCATCTCCCTCCAAGGGTTGTAAAACTAGCAGAAACATTTGTCTTAATGTCCGATCAGCAATGATCTCGGAGCTTTGACGTTTATGGCTCATGAATTGAAATGAGTAAGCGGCTGCCGATATGAAGACTGCCTTGAGGAATAGGTTAGGTAACTCTGTTTTACTTCAAATGTTCTTCAGAAGGGTTGAATGGTAGACATATGCAGGAGAGCAGTGAATTTTCCATGAGTGCAGACTAGCGCTTCTCGCTTTGACCGTTTTGCATCGATCCTCTTCTCAGTGCTTTGACAGTAGGAGTATACCTACTTCAGGGCCATTTCATGACGTTGAAAAATCAATTCTGCCTGGCATGCGTGTGAAATTATTTTACGGCGGCCTGATTCGCTCGGAGGGCGGTGATTATGTGGAGCCGGTTCGGCAGTGCCGGCCATTACGCTGAGTTGTGGCGCGGGCGTAATAACCGCGGGTGACGCGGTGGCGGCATTCAGACCGGCGCGGCCGCCGGCGCCGTCAGACCGGCCGTCGGATGACGTCCTAATCGCCCGGTAATGGCACGCTGATGTCGCCCCGCCAACCGGTCATCGCCACAGCCGAACTGGGGCGTCAGGCGCTCATAATAGGTAATATCTGGCGGGTACCAGAGGTGGCCGAGGGCCGCTCACGTGGCTATTTAATGACGACTGATTACGAGCTCGACGCTTTTATGCGCAATGCACATTGCAAGTCATAGCTCGTACATCGTAGCCGCAACAAGTCGTTATTTTAATGAGGCAATCGTTTGAGTCCGTAAAGGTTTCCGTTTTCGGCCTCAGCGAACTGAGGATAGGGTAGCCCGAACTGGGGAAATGGTCGGCTCATAGAGAGGATTAGGTCGGCTGGAGCTGAGGGCTGGGCTAGAGTTGAGGGCGGGGTCGGCTGCCCATTGCATGATTGACGCATTGGATTGGATTGGCTGCAGCAAACAAGACAGAGGACACATTTGCAATAAAAATTGCAAATATGGAGATATGAAGTAGTGCTACGTTGAATTGTGACAGGTTGGATATGCTGTGATGTTTATTGTTTACCTATCCCTATCAATAAAGTATTTTGGTAAACTAACCCCTAGGCATTTACGCACTGTAGAGATTTATGCTCACGTCACTCATCATAACGTCATTCACGTCGTTGGGTAAATGTTTAGCAAATCATTTATGCCAAGATGCATGATACATAAGAGTTGTAATGCCGGGGTTAGAGAAGTGATAAGCCCACCTCCTTTCCCGACCAGCTGGTATAAGAAGCCTTCCCGTTTTTGCGCTGCCGCACTATGGTTGGAAACGGCCTCACGGATGGCCGGGGGTAAACGCGAAAAAATGTTTTGCCCATAACTTGTTAATGCGTAGACCGACTGCGATGAAACTTTGCATAGGTATACCAGTGTCTTTCGTGCATCATACAGTAACTCAGAAATGACGAGGTCACGTCACGTCACGCGTGTGTGACGTCATCATTGCAAGTATGTTATAAGTCGCCTATGTCTTTCGTTATGTTATCGATATCGCGAGACATTTTGAACATGTTTTGAATACTGCTATTACTGAATGGATATTGTTGTTATGCTTTAGGGCGAGAAATATCAACGTAGTGACGCACAGTGTCTTACTTTTGGTCATAAAGGGTCAAAAATTTGGAGAAAGAGTATTTATGATTTTTTTAGATTGGGCAAAAAAGTAAGAAATAAAATGACGATCAAATGACAAAACATGCGTCAGATTAACCCGGCAGTTGCTGGGGTATTTCCCCATCCGCCGTTTGCCGGGGGGGGGGCGTTCAACGCCCCCAGCCGATAACTCGCGAACAAATAGGCGCAGCGAAACGCACGAGGCGCGGCAAGCGAAAGAAGAACGCGACGAGACGATTCACATGAATACTTTTAAGTTGAATTTCGAGGTCACAGGTCGGGTCAAGGTCAGGTCAAACACTTGAAATCGGGCTTTCAGTAGCATGGACTTTAGAACCTCGCAATCGGTGCCTCGCGTTTCGCGTTTCGATTATATCGTCATCAGTTGGTCCTAAATAAATTCAGTCATCAGTTGGTCCTAAACAATCTGTCACAACTGTCACAACTGTCACAACCCTTCATATAAGTGCTAAAAGAGTGTCAGATCAATGTAGGGGTCAGTCAAACATAGGCCACTGGCCAGGGTCAAAGTCAGGTCAATCAGGTAAGCACATAACCCCGAAAATTAAAACTGGTACCTATTCGCAGCCCATGCATGACACATGTTTTATGGGTACTTTTGGGCGTAGAACACGATGGTGACATTCATTTTATCATACGAGTACGTGGCTGGTTGAAAAAAAAGATCAATTTCAGAAATGCATGCATCATGGTCGTGAAGTAGTCACGAGAAATTGCCAACATTCAGTTCAAGATTTTGGAAAATGTAGAACGATGATCAAAAACCATAGATAGCCATTTGATTTGCCATGGTATTGGCAGTGTAATGGCGTTTACAGCATATCTGTATGTCTGCTCTGTCAGTGAATATCCATATCCATACTCCAGGATATCCATACACGTTTGCACGATATCCATACTCCAGGTGCAGGGGCGAGCAGTTACTTCTTACGAGGGGTGCGGAGTCGAAGTCAGAGTCGGAGTCAGAGTCGGAGTCGGAGTCAGAGTCGCCCAGAGTCGTGGCAACGAGCCAGGAGTCGGAGTCGGAGTCGGGGTCGGTCAGGAGCCCGCAGTGGAAGTCGGAGTCGGTCCGAATCGGAACAGCTCCATCACGACTCCGAAACACTGGCAGGGGTCCGGAGTCGGAGACAGAGTCGCCCGGAGTCATGGCAACGAGTCAGGAGTCGGAGTCGTAGTCGGAGTCGGATTTGGCGCCACCACGACTCCGCAACCCTGCTTCTTACCATCATTTATAAGGATAAGCGATTGCAAGACTGACGAGCCGACCTGGTGCTAACGAAGCGACGGGTAGGTACGCCTCGGGAGATGAAGCTTCACGGACGATTTTGCGCACAAGTGCGCAGTCTGCTTTTACGTTCCCCTTACGCAGAATTGAACAGAGATTTATTCTGCCAAAAAGCTCAATGGAGGTCGATGGAGAACTTTTTGTATGTCTAATGAAACATAAACGTAATTTTGCAAATATTGCTGTGGTGACACTGCAAACAGAATGCAATGCCGTTCCTGATTTTGAACACGCATGGGAAAAAGAGTCACTTCACTCGATAGCCAACATAACAAGGATTATTTTGATATATAATAATCCAGTTTTACAACGTTATGGAGGTACTCCACATGCTATCACCAGCGCGGTTGTTTAAACCTTTGACGGCGCACCAAAAAGGCCACTATCAGAAACTCCCGATTCCACGTACAATAATGGAGACTAAATGCGCAACTAAATAATTTTTTCTGCCCAATTCAAAACATTTCATCAATTTCCAACAGAATGACACCCCAAATATACATATATTCCGAAATTGCCCACGGCCATCCGTGAGGCCGTTTCCAACCATAGTGTGCCGGTGCGTTCCGCGACCTGTGACGAGCGCGGCCGTCTGTTGTCGGCGTGCCGGTTTCGTCACCTGCTATCGGGCGTGGGAGGCCGTGCGGCCGTCATTCACAGATGATGAACATGTCATCACCTTTATCGGCGCGCTGCCGGCCGCCCCCGGCCGATTAACTAGCGGCGGCGCGGCGCGCTGCAGCCGTTTTTTCCGGCCGCGCGCTGGGACTGTTGGCGGCTCACTGACCGGGCCCGCGGCGCAGGGACCGGCCGTGGCGGCCCTCCGTACAGAGGGAGGGCGTGGGAGGCGCCCGGCCCTCTCAAAGGGCCGTGCCGACCGACCGCCGAGTCAGAGTGCACCCACCGGGCCCGGCTGGCGGCGGTGGCGCGGGACGGTCCCTGCAGTCGGCTGGTCGGCCGGACGGTCTGGGCCCGGCTGGCGGGGGTGCGGGACGCTCCCTGCAGTCGGCGGCAGTCGGCTGGTCGGCCGCACGGCTTCCAGAAGTCGAAGGCTTGAATCAAAAGTCGGACAGGTAGGCCGGCTTTCGGCTCTCTATCGCTAACGCGTTCCGAGCTATCGCGAGAAACGCGTCAGGAGCGCGGCACCATCGGAAGATCAAAACGGCCCTCGACTGGATAGGGTTCAGGTAAACGCTTAGAATATATCACAGAAATACATACGTTAAGCGTCAGATTTTGATCCATCCGCTCCAAGTGGCGCGGGGGTAAATGGTTCATCGCGGCCATTTTCTCCCCCGGTATATCGGGGCATGACCTGACTTATGATCTCTGCACATCTCATTAACCTGACCTGTGACCCCTGCCCTCACAATGCCCTGACCTCTGACCTCTGCTGCTCGCAGTGACCTGACTTATATCCTGTGCCCTCATAGTGACCTGACCTTTGACCTCTGCTCCCAAAGTGACCCGACCGGTGACTTCTGTTCTCACAGTGCCCTGGCCTTTTACCCCTGCTGTTGACAGTGACCTGACCTATGACCTCACAGTGAGCTGGCCTGTTGCCCCTGCTGTTGATAGTGACCTGACCTCACCTCTGACCTCAAAGTGAGCTGACCTGGGACATCAGTCTCTCTCATTGATCTGATCTGTGATCCCTGCCCTCACAGTGACCTGACGTGTGACCCCTGCCCTCACAGTGATCTGATTGGCGACCCCTGCTGCTCACAGTGCCCTGACCTGTGACCCCTACCCCCACAGTGACCTGACCTCTGACCCCTGTCCCACAATGACCTGACTTCTGACCTCTGCCCTCACAGTGCCGAAGGACAGTAAGCTGACCTGTAACATATGTCTCTGCCAGTACCCTGACCATTGACCCTTGCTGTTCACAGTGACCCGACCTGTGACCTCTGCCCCCATAGTGACCTGACCTGTGACCTCTACCCCCACAGTACCGGAGGACAGTGCCCTGACCTCTGACCTTTGCCCCCACAGTACCGGAGGACAGTGACCCGACCTCTGACCTCTGCCCCCACAGTACCGGAGGACAGTGACCCGACCTGTGACCTCTGCCCCCATAGTGACCTGACCTCTGACCTCTGCCCCCACAGTTCCGGAGGACAGTGACCTGCACGTGACGAGCATGCTGAGCAGCCAGGAGGGCCCTCCTCCGCCGTCCGTGGGCCGCCAGCACCTGAGCACCCGCGCCGCCGCCGGCCGCCTGCTCAGTCCGCGTCTCTCCGTGCCAAGTGAGTCCGGCAGCGAGTCCGACACGAGTCCGACAGCGAGTCCGACACGAGTCCGACAGCGAGTCCGACACGAGTCCGACAGCGAGTCCGACACGAGTCCAACAGCGAGTCCAACACGAGTCCGACAGCGAGTCCGACACGAGTCCTACAGCGAGTCCAGTTTTCCACGAAATTAGCGACAATGACCTAGCAACTCGTTAGTGCAATAAAATGTTCGAATTTAGATACATATTGTTGCCGTGTTATGATACTTAATTGACCGCCAAGGTCGCACACGGCCTTTCCCACTCAACTGACTTCAGCCGGCTGCGGCTGCTCTCACCAACCGCGAACCATCCACTTCAGAGAGATTTTCGCAAATTTAAAAGGCGGAGGGCTCTTGTGGGGGTTCTCAATACCGGGAGTCAAACGCGCTCTATCAACTGGGCTGCAGGAGCTGCGATTTGCGAATATGTTGATGCTATCTATAATATCAGATAATAGGCAAAATATTTGTCTTGATGTTTCTTTTTATGCCTTTACATTTTGTGTTGTGTGATGTGATAGGTACTGCCTGGTTGTCGTTTTAATGAAACTATGTAAAAATTATGTACTTTCAATTTGGTTGGGTACGTTGTTTTTCGGTCTGTATCCATTAAGTTGTGTGGTCATTGATGATGAGTCGACTGTCGAACGTTTGCCGGCCCGATCGGAGGTGTTTTTGCCGTGTGCTCGCCCGACAGTAGGTAGTCAGTTTTTCCCGGCTCATGTGTCTGTGTTTGGCTAGCAGAGGCCAATCATACAGGCACACCGCTCTGCCAGCCCGCCGACTCCTGTCACCGGGCAATGTGGAGTGTGCTCACTGAAGACGGCTGCTGCATACTCGAATAGCGTGGTACTTACATACCGCGATTCAGGGACACGTGACAGGGGCAGTCATCTGCTAATTTGACCCACTCGGCGCCGAACTGTACGCCGGCGTACCCTGACGGCTGACCTGAGCTGACCTCTGTCCAGGGACGCGAGCCGTCAGCGAGCAGCCGGGCAGCTACCTGCTGTCCTCGGGCGGCAGTGCGGCGCGCGCCCGGCGCCGCCTCGAGGCGCCTCGCTTCTACGCCGCCCCCTACGACCGAACCGCCGAGGTGAGTTACACAGTGGAACACCGGTGAGTGTCACAGTGTAACATCAGTGAATTACACAGTGTAACACCAGTGAGTGTCACAGTGTAACATCAGTAAATTACACAGTGTAACACCAGTGAGTGTCACAGTGTAATATCAGTGAATTACACAGTGTAACACCAGTGAGTGTCACAGTGTAACATCAGTGAATTACACAGTGTAACACCGGTGAGTGTCACCAGTGAGAGACAAGCACACAGACGCGGTCTCACACTGACTGCCGTCTCTTCCAGGAGGGCGAGAACGTGACGCTCAAGTGCTCCGTGTCGGGCCAGCCGAACCCGGCGGCCACCTGGGACAAGGAGGGCGCCACGCTCAGAAACTCGGACAAATTCAGGTGAGACAGCGGGGATCCCGCTGAGGAAGGCTGACAAAGTACAGTGCGACGGGCCTTGTGAACCTGGAGATTCTATCGAGCCTTTCATTCACTATTCTTGTCTTCACCCATTCGATTTTTTCTCACCCCATCTCTCTCATTCTCATTCACAGTCACTTGATACCATCCCAGGGTGACATCTCCCTCTTCTGTCTGTGTTCCCGGGGTGACATCTCTCCGTCTGTGTGTTTCCAGGGTGACATACCTCCCCCCATCTCCCTGTGTTTCCCAGGGTGACATCTCTCCGCCTGCCTGTGTTTCCCGGGGTGACATCTCTCCCCCATCTGTGTCTGTGTATTCCCAGGGTGACATACCTCCACCAGTCCACCGTCTGTGTGTTTCCCAGGGTGACATATCTCTCCCATCTGTGTCTGTGTTTCCCAGAGTGACATCTCCGTCTGCCTGTGTTTCTCAGGGTGACATACCTCCCCTGTATGTGTCGTGTCTGTGTGTTCCCAGGGTGACGTATCTCCCCCGTCTGTATGTGTGTTCCCAGGGTGACGTATCTCTGTCCGTCTGTGTTTCCCAGGGTGACATCTCCGTCTGTCTGTGTTTCCCAGGGTGACATATCTCCGTCTGTTTGTGTTTCCTAGGGTGACATACCTCCCCTGTATGTGCTTGTGTTTCCCAGGGTGACGTATCTCCGTCTGTCTGTGTTTCCCAGGGTGACATATCTCCGTCTGTTTGTGTATTACCAGGGTGACATACCTCCCCTGTATGTGCTTGTGTTTCCCAGGGTGACGTATCTCCGTCTGTCTGTGTTTCCCAGGGTGACATACCTCCCCTGTATGTGCCTGTGTTTCCCAGGGTGACGTATCTCCGTCTGTCTGTGTATTCCCAGGGTGACATACCTCCCCTGTATGTGCTTGTGTTTCCCAGGGTGACGTATCTCCGTCTGTCTGTGTTTCCCAGGGTGACATACCTCCCCTGTATGTGCCTGTGTTTCCCAGGGTGACGTATCTCCGTCTGTCTGTGTTTCCCAGGGTGACATACCTCCCCTGTATGTGCTTGTGTTTCCCAGGGTTGTAGGGATCATCTATGCGATTTGTCATCTATGCGATTTGTCATTTCATGTTGTCATTTTCATTTATATTGTCACCGCTTTATTAATCAATCTGTTACCTGTTAATTGCGCGTCAAGTTTGTTTGTTATTTGTAAACCGGCCTGCCGCTGGCCTCAACCTTCCTAGTAACCGCTGTGCCATACGCTATAGAACGTGTCGTGCAAAGGTCACGGCGGCACCCCTGAGGCGGCCGCTGCCCGTACGTTTAGGAGCCCATTGTCGTGACGTCATGCCTGCGAACAAAGGTCGCGGTAGGGGCTCTCCCGGCAGCCGGACGGTGACTCATACGTTGAGCTTGTTTCTCGCCGCGCCTGCGGGCATATTGATAGTACTAGGGACGGCCAGCATATGACCGCGGCTTTCGGCGACATTGTCAATTCGTTTCTCGACTCTGCTGTTCGCTACAAGACAAATACACATAGAAAACGGCTCGGGCATTTGGAGAAGAGCGGCTACTCTGAGGCGAGGGAAGAACACGGAGATTCACACAAACGACCTGACTAGGTTGCACCGGCCACAGTCGACCGAGGTGGGCTTCTGCGCCCTTAAAGACGCCTCTGACTGGCCATTGCGCTGACACCCTGGTCGGACCACGGTCATTGATCGGACCCTGTCACTGGTTCGTGCTCAGGCTGCCTTAGCGGGTAGACCTGCTCGACCAGACGCCCACTGGTGGGCGAGTGCTCGGTTCCGACTTTCACCGCCGGTCCAACGGCGTTCTGCTGGTTCCCGCCGATCCGGTTACGACACCGCAAGTGCCGTACCGACTCGGGCGTCCCAGGTGGGCGTAACGGTTACCACACCAGTTCGCGACCCCCAGGCTCTGTCAGCCGTCGTACGGCTCTCGGACGGACACTCTAATAGATCAGCCACAGATCAATAGATTGTCACGGACCGTCCGTCCAGCCACGCGCTACCCACAGCGCAGTACGACAATTGGTGACCCCGACGTGATCTCCGTTGTTCAACCTTAGCCTCTCGTCATGCCGGCGGACAGCGCACAGTCCGGCGCCGCAGCTCAAGACCCAGCCAGCGTTCCAGCTTCAGCCTCCGAGTCAACTCATCGGCCCATGGCTAGCTTCCGGCTACCACCATACTCTCCGGAAGAGCCCGACCTGTGGCTACTGCAGGTGCAGTGCGCTTTCGACGTCAGCGGGGTCGACTCCGACGAGCTGAGGTTTAAGCTCCTCGTCGCAAACCTCCCCGCCAACATCGCCGTCCAGGTCAAGGACGTCATCCGGTCATCTCGGTCTTTTGACGTGCTGTGTGCAGCGCTCCAAGCCCGCCTGGCACAGTCACGCGCCGACCGACTACAAGCCCTGCTCGGCCGCCAGCAGCTCGGCGATCAGAAGCCGACGGCGCTGTTGCGCTCAATGCGCAACGAGCTTGCCGCAGCCGGGGACGCCCCGGTTGATACGGAGCTCTTCCGTACCCTATTTCAACAACGGCTACCGCAGCCCGTCCGTGCTGCCCTCGCCCTCCTGCCAGCCGACAGCACGCTTGACGCACTGGCAGAAGCGGCCGACCGGTACCTGGAAGCTAGCGGACCCGACCCACGGCTATCAGCGATCGCGGCACAGCCGTACACACAGCCGGCACCGCCCATCGCTGCTGCAGTGACAGCCCCAGCGCCAGCTGCAACCCCTGCGCTGGACACCGTCATCGCCTCCCTGGTCGCTAAGATGGAGCGCCTGGAGGCCAGCAACCGACGACTCGAGGACGCCGTGCGACGCGACCGCAGCCGTTCCCGGCCGCGCCAAGCGTCTCGCCAGTCACGCCGCCCGTCACCGGCTCGTCCTTCAACGCCGCCGCACGACGACACGCTGTGTTGGTACCACCAGCGATTCGGCGCCCAAGCGCGCCGATGCAAGTTGCCGTGCTCCTGGATCGCCTCGGAAAACTGAGGCGCCCCGTGCTGATGGCGCAAAGCACGGGCGCCCCTCCTGCCGCGCCACTCCTCTTCGTGAGGGACACGGAGACGGACCGGCAATTTCTAGTCGACACCGGGGCGCAGGTCAGCGTGCTGCCTCGCCGCTGCCTGCCCAACGGGTCTACGCTGACCCCTGCTCCTGTCGGCCAGCAGCTCGTCGCGGCAAACGGCTCACCGATCGCGGTGCACGGCACCTGCCTGCTGGACGTCACCTTGAGTCAGCAGCACCGCCTGAAACATCGATTCTTCGTCACTGACGTCACCACACCCATCTTGGGCACCGACTTCCTGGCCGCACATCACCTCGTCGTGGACGTTGCCAACCAGCGTCTCCTGCGGGACGGCACCGTCTGCGCCAGCGCCGAGCGGTCAAGGCTGTGCTCCATCGGAGTGCGTCTCGTCCGGGAGCAGGCTGCTGCTCGCTTCGCAGTTGTCCTCGCCCGGTACCCGGATGTGACCTCACCAAAACCTGGACCAACACCGGTGAAGCACAACGTGACGCACCACATCGTCACCAAGGGTCCACCGGTGTACCAGCGGCCACGACGCCTCCCGCCGGAGCGCCTTCAAATCGCACGTGCTGAGTTCAACAAGATGCTCCAGCAAGGCATCATTCGACCGTCGAGCAGCAGCTGGACAACTCCACTCCACATGGTGCCAAAGAAGAGACCCGGCGAGTGGCGCCCTTGCGGCGACTACAGAGCGCTGAACGCCCGCACCGTACCAGACCGCTACCCGCTGCCGTACCTGCGGGACTTTTCAGCCGACCTGCATGGGTGCACCGTCTTCAGCACCATTGACTTGGTGAAGGCTTACCACCAGATCCCGGTGGAACCTGCCGACGTCCCCAAGACAGCCATCACGACACCGTTCGGCCTCTACGAATGCGTTCGGATGCCGTTCGGCCTCAGAAACGCCGGACAGACCTTCCAGCGTTTCATGGATGAGGTCCTCCGCGGCATACCGGGCTGCTTCGTCTACCTGGACGACATCCTGCTGGCCAGCCCGACTGCCGAACACCACCTGCAGCTCCTGGACCAAGTGCTTCAGCGCCTCAACACCTACGGCGTCGTCGTCAACAGGCACAAGTGCGTCCTGGGACAGGAGCAGGTGGTGTTCCTCGGCCACTCGGTAGACGCCGACGGCGTCCGCCCACTGCCTGGACGAGTCGAGGCCATCAAAGACTTCCCGGAACCGACCACTCAGTCCCAGCTACGGAGGTTCCTGGGGATGGTAGCCTACTACCACCGCTTCATCCCCCAGGCAGCCGAGCTCCTGCAGCCTCTGCACGCCTTAATCACCCACAAGGCAAAACGCTCGAGAGCGCCTGTCACGTGGACAGACTCGGCGCGGCAGCGTTTCAAGAACGTCAAGGACGCCCTGGCCACGGCGACACATCTCGCACACCAAGTCCCGGACGCGCCGCTCGCCCTCTTCGTCGACGCCTCGGACTGCGGAGTGGGCGCCGTCCTCCAGCAGCACGTCGCCGGCGAGTGGCAGCCCCTCGCTTTCTTCTCGAAAACGCTCCAACCTGCGGAGAAGAAATACAGCACGTTCGGGCGCGAGCTGCTCGCTATCTACCTGGCCGTCCGGCACTTCAAGCACGCCATCGAAGGACGGTCAGCAATCATTTTCACAGACCACCGACCACTGGTAACGGCCATCGGCTCCTCGTCCGACCGCTACTCGCCGCGAGAGGTCCGCCACCTGGACTACATCGGCCAGTTCGTGTCTGACATCCGCCATGTGCCTGGCAAGGACAACGTGGTCGCCGACACGCTGTCACGCACGGTCTCGATGGTGGCCCAGCCGCGACCCCCGCTCGCCGACTTCACTGCCATCGCCAAGGCCCAGTCCGAAGACGGCTCGCTGGAAGACGACACCTCACTGCGCCTGCGCCACATTCCGGTCGGCGAAGGACTCCGTCTGCTCTGCGACGAGTCCACCGGATCGCCTCGGCCGGTCCTCCCAGAGGCGCTGCGCCGGCCCTTCGCCAAGGCTCTGCACGACCTGTCGCACCCTGGCGTCGAGGCCACCGTCAAGCTCGTCTCTAAGCGGTTCGTCTGGCCCGGTATGGATCGCGACGTGCGCCGCTGGACCCGAACCTGCCTCGCCTGTCAGCGCTGCAAAATCGGCCGGCACACCAAGTCTGACGTCGGCACCTTCCAGCCACCTCAGCAACGCTTCGACCACGTCCACGTGGACCTCGTCGGCCCGATGCCTCCGTCAAGAGGGCACTCGTACCTCCTGACGTGCGTCGACCGGTTCACTCGGTGGCCAGAAGTCATCCCTCTGCCGGACATCCGCACCACCACGGTCGCCCGCGCCTTCCTCGAGCACTGGGTCGCCCGATTCGGCGTTCCGTCCATCATCACGACGGACCGAGGCGCCCAGTTCGAGTCGGCCCTCTGGTCGGAGCTACAGCGATTCCTGGGCTGCCAGCGAACTCGGACGACGTCCTACCACCCGGCCTGCAACGGTATGGTGGAACGCCTGCATCGCCAGCTGAAGGCCAGCCTCCGTGCACACCAGGCTACGTCATGGACGGACGTGCTGCCGCTGGTGCTCCTGGGCATACGCTCCACCATCAAGGCGGACCTGCAGGCGACGTCAGCCGAGCTGGTGTACGGCTCCTCACTGCGGCTTCCCGGCGAGTTCTTCATCAGCAGCCAAGCCTCAGCAGCATCACCGGCCGGCTTCGTACAGGACCTGAAGCGCGCCATGTCTCAGGTGCGGCCGACACTCCCACGTCCGGTCCAGCGCGCCACGTACGTCCCGACGGCACTCCAGACGGCGACACACGTCTTCGTGCGCAGGGACTGTCACCGCTACCCGCTGGACGCTCCATACGACGGACCGTTCCCGGTTACCGAAAGGACCACCAAAACCATCACCATCGACCGTCGACAGAAAAAGGAGGTCATCAGCATCGACCGGTGTAAGGCCGCCTTCCTGGAGACGCCAGACGAATCCGGTCATCGACAGTCTGACCTGCCGACTGTGCAGCCGCACGGTACTCAGTCCAGCGGCCCGCCGGCCGCGCCACCGCTCAGCAATGAGCCCAGCGGCCCGGAGCTTCTGATCTACGGTGACGCACCAACTCGCCCTGCAGCCGTCGCTCGGGCTGACGCTGCACCATTGCAGCCTCGGCCGATACTACGGACGACCCGCTCCGGCCGCGTCATACGACCTCCGGTAAGATATCGCCATGTCACTTTTGTCCGCGACATGTCTGGCGAGGGGGTACTGTAGGGATCATCTATGCGATTTGTCATCTATGCGATTTGTCATTTCATGTTGTCATTTTCATTTATATTGTCACCGCTTTATTAATCAATCTGTTACCTGTTAATTGCGCGTCAAGTTTGTTTGTTATTTGTAAACCGGCCTGCCGCTGGCCTCAACCTTCCTAGTAACCGCTGTGCCATACGCTATAGAACGTGTCGTGCAAAGGTCACGGCGGCACCCCTGAGGCGGCCGCTGCCCGTACGTTTAGGAGCCCATTGTCGTGACGTCATGCCTGCGAACAAAGGTCGCGGTAGGGGCTCTCCCGGCAGCCGGACGGTGACTCATACGTTGAGCTTGTTTCTCGCCGCGCCTGCGGGCATATTGATAGTACTAGGGACGGCCAGCTTATGACCGCGGCTTTCGGCGACATTGTCAATTCGTTTCTCGACTCTGCTGTTCGCTACAAGACAAATACACATAGAAAACGGCTCGGGCATTTGGAGAAGAGCGGCTACTCTGAGGCGAGGGAAGAACACGGAGATTCACACAAACGACCTGACTAGGTTGCACCGGCCACAGTCGACCGAGGTGGGCTTCTGCGCCCTTAAAGACGCCTCTGACTGGCCATTGCGCTGACACCCTGGTCGGACCACGGTCATTGATCGGACCCTGTCACTGGTTCGTGCTCAGGCTGCCTTAGCGGGTAGACCTGCTCGACCAGACGCCCACTGGTGGGCGAGTGCTCGGTTCCGACTTTCACCGCCGGTCCAACGGCGTTCTGCTGGTTCCCGCCGATCCGGTTACGACACCGCAAGTGCCGTACCGACTCGGGCGTCCCAGGTGGGCGTAACGGTTACCACACCAGTTCGCGACCCCCAGGCTCTGTCAGCCGTCGTACGGCTCTCGGACGGACACTCTAATAGATCAGCCACAGATCAATAGATTGTCACGGACCGTCCGTCCAGCCACGCGCTACCCACAGCGCAGTACGACAGGGTGACATATCTCCGTCTGTCTGTGTTTCCCAGGGTGACATATCTCCGTCTGTTTGTGTATTACCAGGGTGACATACCTCCTCCGTCTGTGTCTGTGTATTACCAGGGTGACATCTCCGTCTGTCTGTGTATTCCAGGGTGACATACCTCCCCCGTCTGCCTGTGTTTCCCAGGGTGACATCTCTCCACTTCTGTGTCTGTGTATTCCAGGGTGACATACCTCCCCTGTATGTGTCTGTGCATTCCCAGGGTGACATACCTCCCCTGTATGTGTCTGTGCATTCCCAGGGTGACATACCTCCCCCGTCTGTCTGTGCTCTCGGGGTGACCTCTCCGTCTACCTGTGTTTCCCAGGGTGACGTATCTCCGTCTGTCTGTGTGTATTCCCAGGGTGACGGAGGCCGGCGATGAGCGGCTGCTGCTGATCCGAGGCGTGCAAAAGTCCGACGCCGGTCTGTACCGGGTCACTTTACACAGTGACGCAGGACGGACGCAGGCCACCGCGCGGCTCTCAGTCATAGGTCAGAGGGGCGACTCAGGGCCGGGGAGGGATCAGAGGGGCGACTCAGGGGCGGGGGAGGGGTCAGAGGGGCGACTCAGGGGCCGGGGAGGGGTCAGAGGGGCGACTCAGGGGCCGGGGAGGGGTCAGAGGGGTGGCTCAGGGACAAGGCTAGGTCAGGGGACTCAGGGGTCAGGACTAGTTCGGGAGGGTGACTCAGGGGTCAGCGAGGGGTCAGAGGGGGACTCTGGGGGCCAACACTGCGCGCCTGACCGTCACAGGTCCGCCTCGCCCCGTACCGGTCAACTGCAGCGCACCCGTCCCACCAGATCGACGAGCCGCTCCCTGTATCGCTCTGCGCGCCGGTTTCCAGCTCCGTTACCCCGCTCCTTTCCCCGTTACACCTCCCCTCCGGGCCGTCCCTGGCCGGGCCCTCTGTATATCTCCCCGTCCGGCCGGGCGGCGCCGTGCTCTGTTGGTCAGCAGTTTGTCGGCTGGGTACACGATATGGAGGTAGGCCGTGGCCCAGGTCAGGTAATGGACCAGGCGGCGGCCCGGCCCCGGCTGCTGAGCCTGCATCTCCCGCCGGGCGCCCTCACGGAGTGTTTTGACGCCTCTCAGATGTCGCCGTGACCCGGGGACGGTGCGCGCCGCCGGCCGAGGCTGCTGTGACGCTGCTGTGTGACGGGTGACGCCGTGACGCTGTGACGCTGCCGTGTGACGCTGTGACGCTGCCGTGTGACGCTGTGACGCTGTGACGCTGTGACGCTGTGACGCTGCCGTGTGTGACGCTGTGGTGTGACGGTGCCGCGCCCGTTCGCAGGTCGCCCGCGGCCACTGAGCCCCATGGGCGTCCCTGGCCACGACCGTCCGGGCAGCGGTCTGGGCCACGCGCGCCGGCCGCGGCCGCGAACTGAGAGCGGCGGCCGAGCGGCCGGCGGCGACCCGCTCTCCCACCCCGCCTCAGGAGTCTGGTTCTGGTGAGTTCTGCTCGACCACCGCGGGGCCGCAGCGTCTGCTGTTGGACCACTGCGGGGCCGCAGCGTCTGCTGTTGGACCACCGCGGGACCGCAGCGTCCGTCCCCCGCCGCTCACCGCACCTCACTCTGAGCTGTGGACGGATTGTTAGTGGAGTTTCAGTTCAGTTCTGTCGTTTCGCGCTGTACCGCCGGTGTGTTTTCAGCGTCTGCTCTCCGTTTGCAGTGACGGTGAGATAGTTCCCGGCGGGCAACCGATCCGGCTCGCCGACCGCAGCGCCACCTGTGCCCCGCCCGGCGCTGAAACTTCTCCGGTGGGCGGAGAGATGGCGGCACCGGTGTTCGCCTACCCTCTGCAGAGCCGATCCGTGATGGAGGGCGACCGTGTCCGGCTCGACGCCACAGTCACTGGTGGGTGGCAAAATGACAGATTTAGCTAGGCTTTTATTTCTGTTGCCTTTCAGTTTCTTTTTAACAGAAAAAAAATGAATTGTTTTGTCAGCCATCCGTCATCGTGCCTGATTTCACAGTCATTTAGCGAGTCTCCCGTGTTTTGGCACCCTGTGCAGAACCCCTGAAGACTGCAGGTAGTCATTACGGTTCTGTAACACGGCTGGGCCGTCCCGCTGTAACCGTCGTGCCCCGTTTTTCCACCAGGCGCCGAGCCACTTAAAGTCACCTGGGTGAAGAACAACGTTCCGATTCGCGACTGCGCCGACTTTCGTCACGTGACCGCGGCCGGAGGGCATTTCTCGCTGGTTATCGACGACATCTACCCGGCCGACGAGGGCTTCTACTTCTGCGAGGCGTGGAACGCCCACGGCCGCACCGTCTGTCACTGCCACGTGACCGTCATAGGTGAGCTGCTGCACTACCGACCGCCACTGACACAAACCGCCCTAGGTTAGCCCAGCCCCCCCCCCCACCGTCTGCCACTGACACGTGACCGTCATAGGTTAGCCCCCCCCCTACCGACCGCCACTGACACAAACCGCCCTAGGTGAGCCCCCCCCCCTCCCGCCCCCTACCGTCTGCCACTGACACAAACCGCCCTAGGTCAGCCCCCCACCCCACCCCACCTTTTGCCACTGCCACGTGACCGTCATAGGTGAGCTGCTGCACAACCGACTGCCACTGACACAAACCGCCCTAGGTGCGCCCCCCCCCCCCCCCCCCACCGTCTACCACTCCCACGTGACCGTGATAGGTGAGCCGGCCCCAATGGCCAATGGGTCCACTGGCGAGTCACCAATGGGCTAACTACTCACTGCCGGATGTTCGCCGGGTCACCCGGTGGGTCACCAGTCAGTCAGTCGATAGTTCATCAGCTGGCCGCCAGGGGTTGGCTGGTAGGTCAGCCGGTGGGTCAGCCGGTAGGTCAGCCGGTAGGTCAGCCGGTAGGTCAGCCGGTAGGTCGCCACTCACCACAGGGAAACCGGTGGCACCGCCGTCTCTGCGTACATTAAATGAAATAAGTGACCGACGGAACCTCATAATTATGTTGATACGTTGCATGCTACATGTTGCCATGGTGGGAGGTGACATCCCAAACGAGTATATGTTTTCCGGATTCAGACTGTGTTGTGTGGTCTCGGCACGTAACCAGATAGGCCATAAGCCGATAGAGGCCTCTAGCCCGGGCAATGGGCATCCTCAAGCCGAAAGAGGCTGACCCCGCGCTGCTGTGCTATTTTTGTGCTGTTCTCAGGCAGCGCTGCTTTGCTGTTGGTGTGCTGTTCTCAGGCCGCGCTGTTGTGCTATTCTCATACCGCACTGTTGTTTTGTTCCCAGAGGATGACGGGGCGGCGGAGCGGCCGTCCGCCGCCGCCGACCCCGCCGCCGGCCGGTCGGTGGCGGCGCCGACCGGAGCGGCTGTCCGGCTCTGGGTGCGCTCCACAGGGGTGGCCACCGTCCAGTGGTCCCTGAACGGCCAGCCCGTGCAGCGGCTCGACCCGGCCAGAGTCAAGGTCAGATCACACTCACATACACACCCGGCGGGAGTCAAGGTCAGCTCACATACACAGCCGGCGGGAGTCAAGGTCAGCTCACACTCCCCCGGCGCGAGTCAAGGTCAGCTCACACTCCCCTGGCGCGAGTCAAGATCAGGTCACGCCCCCCCCCCCCCTCCCCCCCCCCGGCGCAAGTCGATGTCAGCTCACACTCCCTCGGCCCCTCCGTGCTAGCGTACAGAGGCGTCACTCCGAGTGCCGCTGAAATGCTGCATGCTGCAAACGCACTGCTGCATAATATTTATTTACTTCAGCAAATTGATCGCTTTTCATTACTATGTTTAAAGAGAACCGCGAAGCGGTCTTCACCAGAGGATCGTTCAGACTGAGATCACGCAGAAAAGAAAAGGCAAGGAAACCAACGTCACGCACAGAACCCACGACATGCAAAAGCCGACGAGTAGTGCAGCCTGGGCGCCACAGTCGCCAGTGCTGCGGGCACCCGGTCTAATTACCCACGGCGATAGTTGGCCTCTGGCGCCGCTCGAGTGGCCGGTGTGCGGGCTCCGATACTGACCGCTGCGCGCGCCGATACAGCCGGCAGCTATCAGCCGCAATACCGAGCCTGCGTGGCTCGTCCGCTGCGCCCGGTCAGTGGCCGGGTCCCGGTGGAGCGGTGGCCGGGTCCCGGTGGGTGGCCGGGTCCCGGTGGAGCGGTGGCCGGGTCCCGGTGGAGCGGTGGCCGGGTCCCGGTGGAGCGGTGGCCGGGTCCCGGTGGGTGGCCGGGTCCCGGTGGAGCGGTGGCCGGGTCCCGGTGGAGCGGTGGCCGGGTCCCGGTGGAGCGGTGGCCGGGTCCGGTGTGGAGAGGTGGCCGGGTCCCGGTGTGGAGCGGTGGCCGGGTCCCGGTGTGGAGAGGTGGCCGGGTCCCGGTGGAGCGGTGGCCAGCGGTGACGGACCGGCGACAGCTTTGTGACGGACGTGACGGAGCGGTGGTATGTGACGGGTGGGGAGGGGACTGCGGACCGGACGGTGGGTGACGCGGGGTACGTGACCCGCCCGTCCCGACACCTGTAGTGACGTCACGCGTCCTATCCGTGCTCGGACTCTGATTGGCTGGAGGTGCTCGGCCGTGTGCCGTCCATTGGCACTGCAGTGACACGGGGCGGCATGTGGGCAGCGTGCCGCCCCGTCCGCAGGCCCGGGATGGGGGGAGGGGGGGCATGGGGCCGGGATTTTTACAGGTAAACGGTGTTTCGTGCGGTAAAAGGCATGAGTGCTGACACGAACTGGAGCTTTTCCTCATTCCCATTGTCCTAGCTGGATTTACATCGGATTGCTATGAAGACGGCATGTTATCCACTGATAGCCGACAGGCAGCCCAGATTACATCAGTTTCCGTAAAATCTCGGAGCTGTTAGTCGAAACTCCGATTTTGCTAGATTTAAGGTGCACGCACACAGTGCGTGCACCTTTTTCCTTTTACCCTATTGTCAAAAGTGAATGTGCTTTCGACGTTTGCTTTTTCTACTTTGACGTTTTCTGGTGCATGTTCCTTTTTTAATTTCCTTATAAGCATGGAGAAATGTTACATGGCGTGCTTTTACCTGAACAAATAACGTTTGTATAAATCATAATACATAGTTCACTTTCATTGTTTGGATGACTCATGACCTTTTCGTGGAGACGATAATGGGAAGATGTTCATAGGTAGGTACTGTCATCCGCCAGTCCAATAACGCCCAGCCCGACTGTCGGCCCAAAATCAGTTCAGTAACTCCCGGCCACTCTCAGTCCTATAACGCCCGGCCACTGTCAGTCCAATAACGCCCGGCCCCCTGCCGGCCCAATAACGGACTGGGTCACTGGCACACTGTCGGTTCTGCGCCGCACCTGCAGTGCGTCACTGCTGAACCAGCAACATCTCTCGGCTGTGAATCCGGGAAACACTCCACAGAGGATAAGGCCGATCACCTGCGCACTGCTCAGACGCCATGACTCAGAAGCGGCCTGTCCTTGAGGGACGGCGCAGTGAGCGCGCCGCTGACATCACTGCCCTCTGAACTACCGGGCTCTTGAGAACACTATTTGCATGGGGCGCATTTTGTCATTTCAAGTTTTTTATCTGTTGAAATTGGTTTGGCATTGAAATTGGTATCGCATTCACGAGCATAAATTGTTGACCTGACGTCGTATCTTCTAAAACTGATTTCAAACGACACATACGATTGTTCACCCAGAATTATATAACCAAGAACTGGTCTGAATACATCTGTCACATGACCTTCAGCAAATAATACAAACTGTTTTTACCCGGCCTTGGCCTGACCTTGACCTGTCATGCATGTGACCTCCGAATTCTAATCTCTGGATTGCTTCAGATGCTTCTCTGTGAAAACTTTCCAACGCCTCTTGTGGGCCTCGCTACGATGCTTTGTTTCTGAGATAATCTGAGTGAGCCTTGTAATGAAGGTATGAAGAACACTACTCTCAGCTCAGTTAATGCCATGGCGTTCATCTGGAGGCTCAGTCAAGCGCGAATTTTGTCTCATTAGACAGGCTCGTACATACCTATTACCTACCCTTTGAAGGCAGCGCGTTGATCTTATCCAGCTCCGTAAATGGTGCTGGTACTTTTTCCCGCGTACAGAGGAAATAGTTTAGTTCTTCTTGGAAATGCCGTATTCCGCCTAGGTCTCATTGTGGTTCGTCTCAATTAAATGAATGCTAATTTTCGCCGCAAGGAGGCATTCCGAGAACCCAAACACAAATAGACACTGATTTGTAGCACAATGTCATGAGCCGAAGTGAATTGCCCGGAAAAGAAGTATTTGTAACGTTCGAAAATAGATCAAGGAGGTAAATTAGGAAGGTCGCAAATGGATGATGTGTAACCGGTCACAGAGCTATTGTTCGCCAGAATCTGCGCTAAGGTGCAATGGGAAAAGCTGTCAGCCGGACCTGTCTGATGTTACGGTTGTCGTCCATTCACGGCTAGTTCTAGCATATCAGAGCTCACAGCCTTGGCGCCCGGCTCACAGCTCCGTCCTCAGCTCACAGTCCCTGTGGTAGGCTCACAGTTCTGTCACACCAGGTCACAGCCCCGTAGTAGGCTCAGCTCACAGTTCTGTCACATCAGCTCACAGCCCCGTAGGTAGTAGGCTCTCAGTTCTGTCACACCAGCTCACAGCCCCTAAAGTAGGCTCACAGCCTCGCATCCCCCACCCTTCATCATCTGACAGGCCGCCCTCCATCATCTGAGACCCCTTCCGTCGCCGTCTGACGGTGCCGTCTGGTCCGCCGGCAGGTCTCGCAGTCGGGAGGCGCGCACGCGCTGGAGATCCTCCGGCTGACGGAGGCCGACGCCGGCACGGTGGAGGTGAGCGTGCGCGGCCCGGCCGGCAGCTGGCGCTCCCAGGTGGCGCTGACGCTGGCGGCGCCACCGGACGCCGGCGTCAGTCGGGCGCCCACCGACGTCACCGGCACGCAGCGCGCGGCGGCGCCCGCTCTGGAGAACGGCGTCAGACACTCGGCCGAGGGCGGGCGAGGCGGCGGCGCCAGCGGGTCTAGTGGCCTCCCGGCCGAGGGAGCGCAGGAGCCGGAGGACCGGACACCGGAGCCCAGCAGTCAAACGGAGCAGCCCGCCGCAACTCCGGCGGACCGGACGTCAGAGTCTACCAGTCAAACGGAGCACACCGACCGGGCGCCGGAGTCCAGCAGTCAAACTGAGCAGCCCGCAGCTACCCTGTTAGACCGGACGCCGGAGCCCAGCAGTCAAACGGAGCAGCCCGACCGGGCGCCGGAGCCCAGCAGTCAAACGGAACAGCCCGACCGGGCGCCGGAGCCCAGCAGTCAAACGGAGCAGCCCGCAGCTACCCTATCAGACCGGGCGCCGGAGCCCAGCAGTCAAACGGAGCAGGAGAGTGAGGAGGAGGAGTCAGTCAGCCGCAAGTCTAGTCTGGTCGAACCGCACAGCCGGAAAAGCAGTCTGTTCGACTCTTGCAGTCGTAAGAGCAGTGTGACAGACTCTTCTAGCAGTCGTAAGAGCAGTGTGGCAGACTTTGGCAGTCGTAAGAGCAGTGTGGCCGACTCCTGCAGTCGTAAGAGCAGTGTGGCAGACTTTGGCAGCCGGCGGAGCTCGCTGGGCGCCGAGCGCCGGCTGATCGTGCAGGGCCCGGCCAGCCTGGCCGTGCTGTTGGGTCAGACGGCGCGACTCGAGTGTCGTCTCCAGCCGCCCGACGACATGGACGCGCCCACCGCCGTCGTCTGGAGCAAGGCGGTGAGTGTGCGGGTGTGGGCGATCCAACACTGGTCAGCGGTTATCCAGTATTCAGTCCTTTCCCAAAACCACCACCACAAATGAGTCGAACCTCCATTGTATTTGTTATTGTGCTTGTTAATCACGACTAGCCCTTCTTACACACTCTGAAAACTGCACAACGCCTTCGAAAGATTTGCAACCGACCAAAATATTTGTTAGAAATTAGAGCGCAGATCACGATGTCTGCCTATACTTATCTATCGATCGGCTGGCTGCACCAAGTGCTGTTCGCGGGCCAATATGCCTGCCTAATATTTAACTATCTATCTACTGACGCCGTGGTGCGCTGTTCGCGGCCTGCTATCACGGCCACCCGCCGACACAGCTATACCTGTATCTGCTAATAGCGGTGTACGTGCGCTGGCCACCGCCGACCTATCGTGTTTGACAGATTAGAGAAGGTCGCCGTGGTAAACGACCGCTGGTCATGCTCGAACCATAGTGCATCTCTTGTATAGGCTGGGTTGGTATGATTCTGAAAATATCTTGCGGTTTTTACATATTCGTTCAAAGAAGTAGGGGTTTTTGTAGGGTTTCCCCAAATTGTTTCCCCCTTGTCTAACTCCCGAGCAGAAGATCGTAGAATGATGTTGAAAACGGCAATCGCAGCTTTTAACAAGACGGATCTTTGGACCACACTTTTGCATAATTAGGTGACAGGATGGGTCAAAGTCAAGTCCAGGGCAAAAACTGGAAGTTTTTTGTTACTGGCTTCGGAGCGCGGTTGTCGAAAATGGACTGAGACTGATCACCCAAAACGCGTTCTTAGACCACCAAGACAAAATGCATTGCACAAAATGTCATGCAAAGGTCAAGGTCAGGTCAGGTCATCAAGGACAAGATCATCAAAGACCGTATCAAAGAGTGATATGGATCATACTTGGATGAAGCCATGGTTGAGGTCAGGTCAAGGTCAGGTCAAGTGACATCACATTTTTAAGTTGGTTTGTATGGCCAAAATTACGTCAATCTGATGTCCTACCGGTACCCAGATTTTAAGGACGAACAAAAATGGTGCTTCTTGTACAACGTCTAGAACTTTAAAAAAATGTGTCGTGACATCATTACATTTTCAATAACTCCTACATTTTTGGGCGAATTGGTCTAAAAATTAGAATGTAGGAAGTAGGTACACAGTGCGAGCTTCTTTAACGGCCTGGCAGGGCATTTTTCATAACACGGCCTGGCAGGGGGGTCGATGCGACCCTTCCCTCGCGATTGGCTCCTATGGCACCTAGAAACACCAAATTTGGTAGGTAGGTGGGCCCCCTGGAATTCTCGCCCCTGTGCAAATTTGGTTGCTCTACATAGGTCAATATTTAGGGGGGGGGGGGGTTTAAATGTAAAAATTTCGCTAAAAACGGGTCAAAAGTTTTTCGCTTATAACTTTTGATCTAATTACGGAGCGAGCGAAGCGAGCGTAGTCTTTCCTTAGATTAACGGAAATTTCTGAGTATGAGCGGCCGGACGGCCGGCCGGCCGTGCGGACGCTTTTGCGAGGCTTATATCTCAGCAACCACTTGACCGATTTACATGCGGTAATTTTTGTAGGGTAGCTTCATTCCTTCTACCAAGTATTGGACTATTCCCGATGCATTTGGGTGACCCCTTATGCACGTGCCACGTGCAATACGAAGAGGTGTCAGTTTTGTAATTGTTGCAATATCTCGGTAACTACTTGGCCTATTGCGCTGAAAGTTGGCATGTAGGTAGGCACCCACTAGGCACTGCATATTCATGTGCCAGAGTTGGGGTGCTGCTGCACGTGCGCACGTGCAGGGGTCGTTTCCAGATCTCGAGAACGGCTCGACCGATTGCGCTCAAATTTGGTACACGGCTAGGGACCAGTTAGTAGGGTGCCGTGCACAAGTCAGTTGGGACCCATTTTGCACGTGCGCACGTGCAGGGTGCCGCTCCCAGATCTCGAGAACGGCTGGGCCGATTGTGCTCAAATTTGCCACATCGCTAGAAACCGGTCAGTAGGGTGCCGTGCACAAGTCAGTTGGAGGTACCCCCTCGAAATTTCGCACGTGCAAGACTCACCCCCTCGCTCGCTCCGTTAGTCGCCCCAAAAGGCGCTATACTGGTTAAGATAGAGAAAAAAGAAAAGCACCAGTGAACTCAGCACGTCAAGGCGCGTCCAATGATATACCTTTTTGTTTGATTAAGTGTACTCAAAAGTTTTCTTAATTTTTAAGTAACCTTTAATTAATTAATTAAGTTCAAGTTAACCAAATTGCATCATATCGCATATCATTCGATTCTGCTGATCACCAGGAACACAATGACACCATTTTTTAAGCTCTAGCGTCATTATCTGCCAAGTTATTGGCAAAAACGTCATTTGACCTCAGTTGACCTCATTTGACCTGACCCATGGATAAGTACACCAAACAAAGAAGCACCAAGTGACCTGCTGTTAATTACTATGGTTTTAAAGCACAAAAGTGATGGAATTCGAAGCGGACATCTCCAGTATTTTCCGAATTTAGTATTTTACCATAGGCTTAACATTACGACGTAGTGACCTCTAACTGACCTCAGGTCAGTGACATAAAAAAACGAACTATATGTTATACAACTCGGTGAACTTAGCACATCCTGAAATTTGGAAGGAAATCAGTCCAAAGCTGTGAGTTGGACAGGTGCAAAAAGAAAATTGAAATGTGACCATGACCTTGTACCGGTTTTTCTGACCTGGTGACCTGACCCAAGGTCTCCCGGACTTTTAATTTTTAGGTCATATGTAAAAAGGTTGCCCCATAGGCTGTGCCAAATTTGGCGGCGCTGCGCGCCGCCGTTTTTACGCTATCTTCGAAAAACCTTAGGGAGGGTTGCATCAACCCCCCTGCCAGGGCGAGGGTTAATAACGAGATAGCCATTTGAAAGACAAAGAAGAATCGTATACCTAGGTACCTATTTTTGTTACCTCTGGTTTCCTTAAAAGCCTAAGACGTTAGAGTTGTTTGAAGTTTTCGAGTTTTTAAGCGAATTGTGTGACATAATGTCATCCAAACGTTATGTTTTTGTGTTATCAAATTAAAACGGTATCCACCTCAATTTTTAGGCAACACGTCAATTTGTACGATAAGGTACACACTGGAAGTTTGACGCCGCTGGCTGGCGAAAGACGGGAGAGGCCAGATATTCTGCCCCTCCCCGGGGGGAATAAATGACAGTCATATTTTAACCTGTTTAACTTGCTTGCGAGCGCTTGCGCAACTGCGAAACCTTGCAATGTTCCGGCGAAAAAAGAGCAAACATTCAGCACAGCGTAATCCTATCTGCGCAAGCAAGGATTCGGGGAAGGAATGCTGCGTTCGGCCCGTCGATCATTTACGCGTTGTGTGGCAATGCGGCAGCATATTGGAGCCGCGTACCCAAGGCCGTATATCGCGTACCTGACCTATAGGTACGCTATTCGCGCCTGGAACTGTACGTGAATTTGATCGCTCGTTTCCTTGGAAGTCGTCTACAATTAAGCGAAAAAACGTATTTTGATCGATAATTGCAAGAATGCAAGGCAGATGCATTTGCTCGTTCAGTTGAAACTCGTGCTCTCTTGAAAGTACCGCGCGTCGGTGCGTCGGATCCATCAAGCCCAACCGAAGGAAGGCTGTTAATATTGAGAGTCACCGAACCAACTCAGTCCCAACTGAGTTCCCCATGTCAATTGGTTAATTCTCTTAGATGAAAATATGAAAAGAGATACATAACCGAATCTATCTGCCTCTACCTCTTCCTCTATCCCCTCTTTACCTGGCTCCCTTCCCCCCCTCTCTCTCTCTCTCTCTCTCTCTCTCTCTCTCTCTCTCTCTCTTCCCTCCCTCCCTGCCTCCTTCCCTTCTCTCTCTTCACTCTCCTCTTTCCCCACTTTCCAGCTCTCCTCTTCCTCTCCTCGCTCTTCTCGCTTTATAATCGTCTGTTGTGATCTATTAATTTTTGACTGGTTACGGTATTGTTAAGTTGAGTCTGAGCTACTGCCCGTACCTAATATCGACGCACTCCGTGGGCGACTAGTCAGGGCCTCGACCGTCTGCTTCCGGAGGGCTCCGGGAGACGCTCCGGGCTCGGGTATCTACGAGACACTGGACACCAGGACACGTGTGCGCTTCCTAGAATGCGTGTTTCCAAACGCTTCTGCTCTGCCTGACCGCCAGGGCGCCATGAGACCATGGTTCCGTCCAGGGCCGGTACCCTGTGACTAGTTCCTCCTCTATCCACCAGGGGCGCCCTGTAACTAGTTCCGTCCCTGGCCGCCAGGGGCGCCCTGTGACTAGTTCCGTCTCTGCCCGCCAGGGGCGCCGTGTAACCAGTTCCGTCCCTGGCCGCCAGGGGCGCCCTGTAACTAGTTCCTCCTCTGCCCGCCAGGGGCGCCCTGTGACTAGTTCCGTCCCTGCCCGCCAGGGGTGCCGTGTGACTAGTTCCTCCTCTATCCGCCAGGGGTGCCCTGTGATTACTTCCGTCTCTGTCCGCCAGGGGCGCCGTGTGACTAGTTCCGTCCCTGGCCGCCAGGGGCGCCCTGTGACTAGTTCCTCCTCTCTCCGCTAGGGGCGCCATGTGACTAGTTCCTCCTCTGTCCGCTAGGGGCGCCCTGTGACTAGTTCCGTCCCTGGCCGCCAGGGGCGCCCTGTGACTAGTTCCTCCTCTGTCCGCTAGGGGTGCCGTGTGACTAGTTCCGTCCCTGCCCGCCAGGGGCGCCATGTGACTAGTTCCTCCTCTATCCGCTAGGGGCGCCATGTGACTAGTTCCTCCTCTGTCCGCCAGGGGCGCCGTGTGACTAGTTCCGTCCCTGGCCGCCAGGGGCGCCCTGTGATTAGTTCCGTCTCTGCCCGCCAGGGGCGCCGTGTAACCAGTTCCGCCCCTGGCCGCCAGGGGCGCCCTGTAACTAGTTCCTCCTCTGCCCGCCAGGGGCGCCCTGTGACTAGTTCCGTCCCTGGCCGCCAGGGGCGCCCTGTGACTAGTTCCTCCTCTGTCCGCTAGGGGCGCCATGTGACTAGTTCCTCCTCTGTCCGCTAGGGGCGCCCTGTGACTAGTTCCGTCCCTGGCCGCCAGGGGCGCCCTGTGACTAGTTCCGTTTTTGTCCGCCAGGGGCGCCGTGTGATTAGTTCCGTCCCTGTCCGCCAGGGGCGCCCTGTGACTAGTTCCGTCCCTGGCCGCCAGGGGCGCCCTGTGACTAGTTCCGTTTTTGTCCGCCAGGGGCGCCGTGTGACTAGTTCCGTTTCTGTCCGCCAGGGGCGCCCTGTGACTAGTTCCGTCCCTGGCCGCCAGGGGCGCCCTGTGACTAGTTCCGTCCCTGTCCGCTAGGGGCGCCGTGTAACTAGTTCCGTTTCTGTCCGCCAGGGGCGCCCTGTGACTAGTTCCATCTCTCTCCGCCAGGGGCGCCGCCTGGAGCCGTCGGAGCGGGTGACGGTCGAAGCCACCCCGTCTGGCTCTGTGCTAACTCTGCGCCAGGTGACGGCCGACGACAGCGGCAAGTATGTGGTGCGCGCCGGCCAGGACGAGTGCTGGGCCTCGCTGGCGGTCGAGGGGCCGCCCGAGCCGCCGTCCGGCGTACCCAACGTGTGCCGCATCAGCCAGCAGTGAGTGGCGCCGGACCGGCTCCCGGCCGGCCGCGCCGTGGCCGGACGCCGTTAGACGGGGGCTCCCTGCTGGGAATGGTGCTGACCATGACTGGAGAGCCGCAGACGATGGCTAAGGCGCCTTTACAACCATTATCTGACGGTATAAGTCACTATAAACTGTCCACTGCGAACTGATTATGCACTGTAAAGCCCTCCCCATTAATTTCAGCTGTGTAATAGAATAAGAAATAAGGAAATTCTGTACTGTTCTCAGACCACGCGTCAATGCTGCCTGTGTGTTTCTGTCCGTTACGTGTCTGCTACCCCCGCGGTGCCCAGTCGTGACGAATCCGGCGGCCGGCGGTGACCAGTCCTATCACCGGCAGGTCTATCACGCTGTCCTATCACCGGCAGGTGGATCACGCTGTCCTATCACCGGCAGGTCTATCACGCTGTCCCATCACCGGCAGGTCGATCACGCTGTCCTATCACCGGCAGGGCGATCACGCTGTCCTATCACCGGCAGGTCGATCACGCTGTCCTATCACCGGCAGGTCGATCACGCTGTCCTATCACCGGCAGGTCGATCACGCTGTCCTATCACCGGCAGGTCGATCACGCTGTCCTATCACCGGCAGGGCGATCACGCTGTCCTATCACCGGCAGGTCGATCACGCTGTCCTATCACCGGCAGGTCGATCACGCTGTCCTATCACCGGCAGGGCGATCACGCTGTCCTGGTGCGGCCCGCCGTTCGATGGCGGCAGCATGGTGACCGAGTACCAGGTGGAGACGGCCGACGAGCAGCGCCGCTGGCGGCTGCTCGTCGACCACTGCCGCTCCACCTCGGTGGTCGTCGACGCCGACGGGCTGGCCGAGGCGCCCTGCTTCCGTGTGCGCGCCGTCAACAAGCACGGGTGCAGCGCGCCGGGCCTGGAGGCGGCGGCGCCGGCCTTCAGCGCCGACCGGCCGGCCGACGGGCCCACCGACGGGCCGGGAGAAAATGAGGACGACGAGACGGACGGTGAGCGGCGGCGGCCGTCATACAGTCAGCAGCTGTCGTACAGTCAGCAGCTGTCATACAGTCGGCAGCGGTCATACAGTCGGCAGCTGTCATACAGTCAGCAGCGGTCATACAGTCAGCAGCTGTCATACAGTCAGCAGCGGTCATACAGTCAGCAGCTGTCATACAGTCAGCAGCTGTCGTACTGTCAGCAGCGGTCATACAGTCAGCGGCCGTCATACGGTCAGCAGCCGTCATACTGTTAGCAGATGTCATCCCATACCTCAACGACTGACAGACGAACGTAATCATAAGTGGTTATGCTGATTACCAGGTTTTGTTTCATTTAAAGTTGGTTGTTCAAAGCTAATAAATGTGTAAATTCGGTGCGAGTGAGACGGATCAGCGCCTCTCAGGTCCTGAGATCTGCAGCCGTGCTCCCGCCGCGGCGCTGTATCGTTAGCTCGTCTGGCGGGCCCGCTTCGTCCTCTCTCCACTGACCCTCCGCCCCTCTGTCCGCAGTGGGGGCGCCGTTCCCCCATCGGCACGTGACCCTGACGTCGGGAGTCGATTTCGGAGCGCTGTACGACGTCCAGGAGGAGCTGGGCAAGGGACGGTTCGGCATGGTCCATAAGGTACGCCGCTGGGTCCCTACAGGACGCCGCGTAACTGCACTACTGCTGTCTGCAGCAGCAGCCTGTCAACATTAGGCTGACTATCTGGCCTTTAATTCGTCATGTTATGTAATTATTTGCTATGGTTCTGGCAGCCAATTTTATTAATAGCAGAGACAATGGCAAACTAAATCAAATTTTCCCTGTTCGCCGGATTTTAAAATGGTTCGACCTCTATTGGGTATGGCTGCTGCGGCCGCGCCACTGTCGTGCTTGGGCTGCATCGCGCTGCCGCTCTGACGGAGCTCCCCGCCCCGTCCACCGTCCTTCCCGCGGGCTGCTGACGGAGTTCCGCGCCCCTGTCCCGCGGGCTGCTGACGGAGTTCCCTACCCCTGTCCCGCGGGCTGCTGACGGAGTTCTCCACCCCTGTCCCGCGGGCTGCTGACGGAGTTCCGCGCCCCTGTCCCGCGGGCTGCTGACGGAGTTCCCTACCCCTGTCCCGTGGGCCGCTGACGCCCCCCCCCCCCCTCCGCCCTGTCCCGTGGGCCGCTGCCCGTCCCGCGGCCGGCTAACAGGGCTCTCCGCCGTCCCCAGGTGGTGGAGAGGAGCACCGGTAACCGGTTCGCGGCCAAGTTCATCAAGTGCATCAAGCTGGCGGACCGGGCCAAGGTCGGTGAGGAGATCGCCATCATGAACCAGCTGGATCACCCGAAGCTGCTGCAGCTGGCCGCCGCCATCGACCACGGGCGGCAGATGATCATGCTGCTCGAATAGTGAGTGCCCGCCGCCGCCCGGCGGGTGCGGCGCGGCCGCCGGGGAGGTCGGTGGTCGGGTGACCAGTTCAACCGCCGTCCTGTCTGTGCTGGGGGCTGCCGCCAGGGAGTGAGGCAGTGTTGCTGAGTATCGTGGCTTACTGTCAGGGAGTAACTGCTGAGTTTCCGAGTAGGTGCGCTAATTCAGCTTTGCGTTCCCGGCCATACTGTTTGTGACTGCTCGGGCAGTGTGTAAGCCGTGCGTTATCCGACTATGTGTTATGACAGCGTCAGAGGCCGCTCCCCGCCATGACTGTTGATGTTTGCTCTGACACCGAGTAGCTGCTCTCCGCCGTACATTATCTGACTGTCTGTACCGACAGCGTCAGAGAACTGTTGGTGTTTGCTCTGACACCGAGTAGCTGCTCTCCGCCGTACATTATCTGACTGTCTGTACCGACAGCGTCTCTGGCGGGGAGCTGTTTGAGCGCGTGGTGGCCGACGACTTCACGCTGACGGAGCACGAGTGTGTGCTCTTCATGCAGCAGATCTGTAGCGGGGTGCGCTACATGCACGACAACAACATCATGCACCTCGACATGAAGGTAGGCCGAACGCCTCGACATGAAGGTAGGCCGAACACCTCGACATGAAGGTAGGCCGAACACCTCGACATGAAGGTAGGCCGAACACCTCGACATGAAGGTAGGCCGAGCATCTCGACATGAAGGTAGGCCGAGCTCGGATCGAGCCCCGTCCGGTCTGCCAGCGCTCTGTGAGCGCCACGCCACCGCTCCAGGCCACCCTGGCCCATTGCAGTGCTAGTAATTGGCATCCTTTTAATATGACGGAGCTCCGCGTGGCCACTAAAGTCCCACCATTCACGGAGCCCAGCTGACCTGTGCTGCCCGTCTCTCGCAGCCGGAGAACATCCTGTGCATCACCAAGTCGTCTCACATGATCAAGATAATCGACTTTGGCCTGGCGCGCCAGTACCGCGAGTCGGAGCCGACCCGGGTGATGCTCGGCACTCCCGAGTTCATCCCGCCCGAGATCATCAACTTCGAGCCCATCAGTCCGCGCAGCGACATGTGGAGTCTGGGCGTCATCTGCTACATCCTGTGAGTAGCTGAGCCAGTCCGGCGGCGCAGCACTGGTCGGGGTGCTCCGAGGGGCGGGGTCTTGCGGTGTTCTGAGAGGGAGTCAGGGTGCTCTGATGAGTCAGGGAGTCAGGGTGTTCTGATGAGTCAGGGAGTCAGGGTGTTCTGAGAGGGAGTCAGGGTGCTCTGATGAGACGGCACGCCGGGTGTACGGGGGTTGGTGGTGTCTCTGTTCAGCTAGTATCGCTCGCATTGTTTGTTGTCCCGAGGTATCAGGCTGTCTCCCACTGTTTGCTGACCGCCCGCTTCCCAGTTTGTCGGATCTCTCCCCGCCGTTTGCTGACCACCCGCTTCCCTCAGCTTGTCGGGTCTCTCCCCGTTCATGGGCGATAACGACGCCGAAACGTTCGCCAACATCACGCGCGCCGAGTTTGATTTCGATGACGACGCGTTCGACGCCGTGTCCGACGCGGCTAAGGAGTTCATCACGAGCCTGCTGAGAAAGCGACAAACGTGAGAGGCACCGCGGAACGGGGGGATGGGGGGGCCGCTGGGACGGGGAGGACCCGCTGGGACGGGGGGGACGGGGGAGGGGCCGCAGGGGCGGAGGGACGGGGAAGGGGCCGCTGGGACGGGGGACGGGGAGAGCTCGCTGGGACGGGTGGGTGCGATACGACCCCACTGGGACGTATGTACAGGTGTGGGAGGGCTCCACGGACGGATGGACTGGGACCATTGTTGGCTGCGTAGCACTGCTTCCGCAGGTGACGAATTAGATAAACGTATCAGGCTGTCAACTCGCCTCGCTCAAATTTTGGGTGATTTGTTGACGGTTTTTCAGTTTCCGAAATTGTGTATGTTTTTTAATTGGCTCTCACCTGTCAGTATGTGCAGCTGTGTTCTGACTGTGTGCTCCGACCGTCAGCTGAGTGTGTGTGTGCTGATTGTGTGCTGATGACTGTGTGCTCGGACCGTCAGCTGACTGTGTTCTGACTGTGTGCTCGGACCGTCAGCTGACGGTGTTTGTATGTATGTGTGTGGACCGTGTGCTGATGACTGTGCGCCCGGACGGCAGCTGACTGTGTGTGTATGTGTGTGTGGACCGTGTGCTGATGACTGTGCGCTCGGACCGTCAACTGACTGTGTGTATGTGTGTGGACCGTGTGCTGATGACTGTGCGCTCGGACCGTCAGCTGATGGTGTGTGTGTGTGTGTGTGTGTGGACCGTGTGCTGATTGCTGTGCGCTCGGACCGTCAGCTGACAGTGTGTGTGTGTGTTGCTGATTGCTGTGCGCCCGGGCGGCAGCTGACGGTGTGTGTATGTGTGTGTGGACCGTGTGCTGATTGCTGTGTGCTGATGACTGTGCGCCTGGGCGGCAGCTGACTGTGCGTGTGTGTTGCTGATTGCTGTGCGCCCGGGCGGCAGCTGACGGTGTGTGTATGTGTGTGTGGACCGTGTGCTGATTGCTGTGTGCTGATGACTGTGCGCCTGGGCGGCAGCTGACTGTGCGTGTGTGTTGCTGATTGCTGTGCGCCCGGGCGGCAGCTGACTGTGTGTGTGTGTGCTGACTGTGCGCCCGGGCGGCAGCTGACGGTGTGTGTATGTATGTGTGTGGACCGTGTGCTGATTGCTGTGCGCCCGGGCGGCAGCTGACTGTGTGTGTGTGCTGACTGTGCGCCCGGGCGGCAGCTGACTGTGTGTGTGTTGCTGATTGCTGTGCGCCCGGTCGGCAGCTGACTGTGTGTGTGTGTTGCTGATTGTTGTGCGCTCGGGCGGCAGGGAGCGGATGAGCGCCTGCCGCGCGCTGACCCACCCCTGGCTGACGACCGGCCACCGAGGAGCCCAAACCACCGTCCTCTCCAAGGAAAAACTCAAAAAGTTCATCATCAGGAGAAAGTGGCAGGTGCGTCCGGCTCGCACTGGCTGGAAGCAGCACAAGAAACTTGCTTTCAGTTTCTTGTACTTTAGATGGTAACAGTGATAACATGAATGCTTTTAGCATAGTGCTTCTGGTTTCTTTTTGTTTCGTTTTGTTTTGCAGACGAGCTGTTTGTGTATTGCTCATGAGGTTTTCTTTCTTTCTTTGTCGTACAACATTTTTCCTTCAACTTGTTTTGAGTTTTGCGTGTTTTTCCCTGTAGCCGGACCGCATGCGTGTCTCTAGAGCCCCCAGTGACGGGTGTACGGCGCCGTCGCCCCTCCATCCCCGATCTAACGGCCCTCTCCCTCCCCGCCGTCGGTAGAAAACTGGTAACGCCATCCGGGCGCTGGGCCGTATGAGCGCCAGCCTGCCGGCGCGGCGGGCCAGCCAGTCGCGCCGCGCCAGCCGCGAGGGCGGCCTGCTGGCGGCGCCGGCCGGCGGCCTGCTGCAGCAGAAGCGCGCCTCCATCTACAGCGAGCGCAGCGACAGCGGCTTCAGCGACTGCTCGGTGGGCTCGGGGCCGCGCCTGGGGCGCCGCTTCACCAACGAGTCCACGCTGGCAGAGGAGGACGAGGGCCCGGCCGGCGCCGCTGACCTGCTCCGCTCTGTCATTCCAGAGGACGGCCCGGCCCTGGCGCGCCGGCTAGAGCAGGCCACCTGAGGCGGCGCGCAGCCTCCGGAGGTCACCGAGGGTCGCCGCCGGTCACTGAGGGTCTCTGCCGGTCACTGAGGGTCACCGCCGGTCACTGAGGGTCACCGCCGGTCACTGAGGGTCACCGCCGGTCACCGAGGGTCGCCGCCGGTCACTGAGGGTCACTGGGGGTCTCTGCCGGTCACCGCCGTTCACTGAGGGTCCCGGATTCTCCTGGGTGGGCCTGACGTGCTGCCACCTGCCGGCCGGGGTGGAAACAGGTGGTGCTGCCACCTGCCCAGGTCTGGGCCGTTACGGAGACAGGCCACTAGTTCAGCATAGCCCATATCCCAGCTCCGTGCCAGTCTCAGGGGCCTAGCAAAGTCCCCGGCGCCTGGGACTGCGCCAAAGGGTACCATTAGCGATGCCAAAAACACGCCTGATCGCGGCCGCTGGGGCGAGTCCTTGTTTGCCTCGGGCGCATGTTTGTTGACGCTAGTTTTATCAGCGGAGGTGTTCTCGTGGGTAGGTAACCCACGCGCGGTAGCTGCCCAGTCCCCGACCCGCTTATCTGACGTTGGGTAGGATAGGGGGTGTGATGATGACGATGTTGGCCAATACAGAGGTTTATCCGAGGGGCGTGTACGAGCCCGGTGCATGTCCCGGCGCTGGCTCCGGCTGAGAGCAGCGCACTAGTGAATGCGGTGCCTCCACCTCCCAGGCATGCATATAAATGCTTTCAGTCGTTTGTTTTAATAATAAAAGACGTGTGGAGACTATCGGTGTTTGATGTCCGGTGCTACACTCGGTGACTCTGGGACGACCAAATGGAAAATAAACACGTACATGCTGTAGGTGGTCCGACCAAAGTCCACGTGGCCTCCGAAGTGGCTCGTTTCTGCCCCGGTTACCTGACCACCTGTGTGCGTATGGGCCCGCTCTCGGCCCGTGTCCGCACCTGATTCGGCAGAGAGGGCCAGTCGGTCGCACTGGAGGTCAGTTCCATCTCCGGAGAGGCGCGGATCTGTCACGGGTGAGCCGCCACCGTGCGCAGCTCGCGCATTGAATGCGAGATGATTTCAGTGTTTTCCCGCCTACTCGGCTATATTTTCACGCAAAAGGTCAGAAAAGTCATAAAAGTATCACTTTTGCAGGTCAGCCGCAGTAAAACTTTGAGGAAGAGCTTACATAAATTCTGGTTCAAATCCTCCGGCGACAAATTTACGATCATTTGAAGGCGGCTGCCGCGTTTACAGCCTGTCGTTCGCCTGCGTCATAAATTGGTGACGTCACCGTTCTTGGCTGTACCAAAAGCCTGGGTGGTGTGCTCGGCTGTGGGTGATTCGGCCATCTACCGTGCTCTGAGTACTGCTGACATGGATCAGTGGAGAGTGACAACAGACTCAGAGTATCGCCACAGACTGGTCGGCCAGAGAAAGGATACCGGAAACCACAACGTCCTGTCTGCTCAGACTGGTCTAGATATAGCTGACACTGGGGACTACATCCACCAGCTAGGTAAAGGACGCTGGAGACCACATACACCAGATAAGTAACGAGAAACCGGATACACTTCCCACCCGTCTGCTCAGGCTGGGCTAGATATAACGGACTCCGGAGACCACATGCTGAGCAGAGAGGGCGACGAACTCGATCAGCGCTCAGATCCGCCAATGATTAGCTGCCCCTGCATGTAATATCCCGGTATGAATGATGAGTCCCGTGATATCGCTTGTGATAGGATGTTCTCAATCACACAGCGCAGAAAAGCGTTGATGTTCATTCCGATACAGTGCGTTACTTTCCGTAAAGCATTTCGAGTTTGTGTAAGTGCGAACTGCCGAGCGATTGCCCAGCTGTCAACTGGCGATAAATGGTAGGAGTGGCGCGTGACTCAACCGCTCAGCAATCGTTATAGTGACCAGACAGCAGATCAGACCGAGGAAGAACCGACAAAACGCACAGAACAGCTTACAGAAGGGACCGGACTCGGGCGGAGGTAAGCCTCAAAGCAAGCCCCAGTAGTTTCGCAATAAAATAAAAAATGAATTCTTAGCATGTGAATAGTCCATGTCTTTTAAAAGCTATTTAAAAGTAACATTCAGCGTGAAACACCCCAAGGCTGGAACAGCATGCATTGCCGGCTGTGGGCAGCGTAGGTACTAGGTACTAGGTAGGTAGGGGAGAGTTAGGGGAAGTTGGGGCAATGCCGGAGTTGGGGCAAAGCCGAAATTCGAGATATTTCGAAAACCGTAAGACATGGATGCCACCGGTCAGTGATGCTCTGAAGCTTAAAGGTAGTGTGCCAGCTTTCTTGGACCGTATGGAGTTAATGGCCCAGATAAGGAGAACCGGATTTTTAGAACTTATCCATACCTTCAAAACTCATGGAAACGTCTTAAATTCTTCAAATTTTGAGTACCCCAGTGCGAAATTCGCCCCGACGGGTTGTCGGTCGTACCCCAACCACATTTCACACCACTATGAACAATAAATGCACACACTGAAATCGCTATTACCGATATGCTCATCCAATCAAGTTTCGATAAACCCGTTCATCATCATCTCCTGCGGTTTCGAACACGCCTGTTAGGTGGCTTCTGATGCTCGTCGGGGTCGGAATTTCCAAATACGCGTGGTGCGTCGGGCCGCGCGCTCTGACTTCGGCCAAGGAAAATGCGTCAGCTGATCATTGTCATTTCTGCCACCTGCGTGTGGTGAAATGGGGTCATAACTTATAGGACGGCTTTTTTATATCAATTATTTTACATAAAATCATATTTCAAACCATAAATAATGTTCGACAGCCAAATAAAAGAAACAATACAATACGGGCTTACAGTTTAAGGCTCGACATTGTGCTGTCTACGATTAGACAGCTGATAACTCATTCCCGTACAGTAGGTCTATTAAAAAAGTCCCCGGCACCAGTGGGCGCTGCCTTCGCTGAGCCGAACCCCCGTCTGCCTGTCCCATATCGCGCCGGTATCAGGTCAGGAAGGGTCAGCGGGACCGCTCGGTCCGGCCCGCGGGCGGTGGACGGGCGGCCGGTAACGCTTTCCACCAGCCAGCTGTAGAATCCGACAGACGGGACGGCCACCGCTCAGCGCAGCGAAACCGGTGTTAAAGAATGGCAGTAGATGTTCATGGCCGATGAGATAGTCATTGTTAGCCCGTGCCCCACATGAATGCCTAGACTCTCACGCCCTGTTGGAGGGGAAATGGGGATTGAGGATCATTCTTATAACTCAGCTTTGGGCATTTAACCCTCGCACGACCAGGCCATTTCTCATAACACGAACGACCAGGGGGGGGGGGGTTGTTACGACCCCCCCTGGCGTTTCGAAACGGAAGGTCGTAGAGCTTAGCGGAAAAAACCAACGGATTGCTCTCAATGAGATCTCGCGATTGGTGGTATATTTTTTGGTCCTAGGTCAACATTTGACCTACTTATGACCGGTCAAAGGTCAAATTTTCGGAAAAATCTAACTTTTTCAGATTTCCGCGCCGATTGCGGCAAAACGGTACGAGATGTCGACTTGAAACCTTCACTAACGTGATCCTTGATCAATTCTCTATCGTTTGGTGTGTATTTCGATGTCATAACTTTAAAAATGATGCGTTGGGAGCATCGGAAGTCTGCAAGGTCATTTGTCCATTGGGTCACGTCAGGCGTGTGACGTCACTGACCTGACCCTGACCCAAAATGAACTACAAGAAACAACCGACGATGCCTGAAATGGATAGCAAATTCGAATTCAGGGCATCAAAATACCCCGAAATGGCATACAAGTGCAAGAAGTCATTACAGGTCAACCGAGGTCAATGACCTTACCTTGACCTTTAGTGACCTTCAAAATGTCAACGGACATTGTGCCAATGTCAAATCAGCCAGTTGTGATTCTATAAAACAATCCATCAGTGCGTCAGGTCAGTCGGCATTTATACCAATGTGAAGCAATCTCCAATTTAGCGTAAATCTGGCCGGAGGTTGTTCCCTTTATGACGTCATAACTCCGTAACCTGACATGACCTTGACAAAAAAAAAATACCAAAAGTTGCGCAAAGGATGCCCCAAAGGGTACTGAAAATTTGAGCAGGCTATCTGAAACGGTTCGGCGTGTAGCTAAGAAAAACCTCGGGGGGGGGGGTTGATACACCCCCCCCCCTAGGCGTTCTAGGGTTAAGTGGTATTCGAAGTAGCGTCAAAAGTAGCAAAAAGAAGAAAAAAATACTTCAGCTAATTTTGGATCCGGTCATAGCCAGAGGTCATGTCACTAGAGGTCATCGATGGTAAAATTTTGCTTAGACAGGGTGCGTTGTGCGCACCGGTGCATTGGGTTTCCAATTTCCATGGAAACATCAACAGACTCGGAAGCTCGCAACAGGGGCGCGGGAACTACTTTCCGACTGGGGGCACACCATAATAGAGATCAACCTAGGATCCCCCAAATCTTTTCTCACCGGTTTTAGGCCACTTATTTTTCATCTCTCGGCTTTTTCAACAAAAAAAGAAAACATTTGCAAAACAATGTGGTATTCCGTCTCAAAGCTGTGGGGGCACCGCCCCCACGGCCCCAGAGTTGGGGGGGGGGGCAAGCTGCACCCACTGCCCCCCCGGCTCCCGCACCTATGGCTCGCAACGCTAGCGTGGAGCCCAATTCATATCAACCGCCGCAACAATGCAGCAGCGCAGCGCAGCGTGCTGCAGCGCGGGGCCGTGAAACACCGCCCAGGGCTACCCATGTGTCAGGGCAATCCAACCCACGTGATGGGCTCGGCCCCAGCGGAGCATGAGGTCCAGGACTCCCGCCCAGGCCCCCTGTCTCCTCCTAATTCCTATCATCCTTCCCACTCTGAAATCGACCGAAGAGCCTAACCTAACACAACAATCAGCTCATTTACCGCTATGTCTGAAATCTGAATAATATTGTCAGATTGAATTAGGGTCAACGGCTTAGCATGTAAATAACAACAACTGCCACCATCGGTATTATGAGAAAACCAATTGCTTTTCCACAAACACTTTAAAGTTTTTAGCTTAAAACTTGCATTAAATTAATTTTACCAGCCTCTTCGTTCCTCTTATCAAAACGCTTCGAATGAATCGCAAGTTTATCTTTAAAGGTCATTTGAAAAATTTGGCCTATGTTCAAAGACATGACCTGACCAGAAATGGTCATAGCATAGCAGGATATTAGATCCGTATCGTGGAACTTTACAAACACTTCAGATGATTTCATAACTAAGCATGTCTATCAAAAATAATTATTACATGGCTCATATGTAAGCTGGGTGTGTGAACATGCTTGCGCTTATGTTGAACGCAACTGATAATGTTCTGTTGGCCACATTTTCTATAATTAATTTAGCCTCCCGAATTTCATATTTTTGTTAATGACACCTTCACGATGTCGAGAAAAAAAACGCTTAGGAGATTTTTAGGAACGCAGCCTGAGATACATTCAGTATAAGGAAGGTTCAAGGGTGCTAGATTCCTTACGTCATCGCTATCCTCAGGAAAAACCAATCCGCATCGCCCCTACATAGTCTTCATGCTTCCCTCTCTGGACGGGAGGTCACCCCACCAGCCAACCTGTAGTTGATGTCGGATCCATTCCAGGACACATAATCCTCTTCGGGTGACCGTTTGGGAGACGGCTGGACCGTCCCGACAGGGCAATCGTCCCACGGGGAACAGTCTCGCTTCCGCAGATCACCGTCGCTGGCTCGCACAACCCAATTACTACACCACAGCATAGTTATGTCATAGCTC